AATGGAAAGATATTTGAGCAGATTTCCATTTCATTCAGAATCTGATGGAGATGATTTCCACAGTTATACAACTGCACAACACGTCAGTTGAGAATAGCACCACCACCAGGGGGAGGAAAGTGGTTCATTGACCTGAAGTAGATTTTTATTTTTAACTTGAGTTGTGCTGCTCACAGACAAACACACCAACGCTGGCAGAAACATCACCTCTGTGGTGAGCTACCTGCTTGACCAAGATATCAAACGTTGCCAAGTCTGTAGACACTTATTAAAAATATGTTTTTGTGGCAAACGGTGTTATCTGGATTTATTAAATTACAACTGCGTTAGTGGCAGTAATTAAAACCCGATCAAATTCTGTTGATGTCAGATTCACAGTTTTATTAATTATCGTCTGTGTTCTCCCTGATGTCTCCTGTAGCTAAATAAATTAAAATAATTCTCCGTGCCCATACACTGTATGTGGGTTATTTATAATATTAGATCAAAAAGCAGTTGTTAATATGGATTTTTTTTTTTTTTTCCAGAGCTCGGTCTTATTTTTATCACATCCAGTGTCTTTGGACTGACTCAGTATCACGTCATGTATCATGCCTTGTTTTTCGCCCTCATTTTGAGCTTGTCCAGATTTAGCTCAGTTCCATCCTTTAATCCGTCTGTTTTGTTAGTGACACTGGTAGAACAGCCTGGGCTGTGTGGGCTCAGCCCAACCTGTCACAGCCCATAACGTCTCATATGAGGATCAGGTTATTGCCTGGGCTCTGTGTATCTTTGTATTGAATTGCTTTTGATAGGAAGCCCTGCTGTTGTGTGTGTGTGTGTGTGTGTGTGTGTGTGATTCTCGCTCACCCCACGTGTTTGTATATTTTTGGTTTCATGCATATGTTTGCATACGTTTACTGTATATGGGTGAATAGGACACACAAGTGTGGACGCACCAATTGTCTTTCTGACCTCAAATTTCAATATTGTCCCCCCCCCCAGATAATGGCATGTTCTGGGTTTCTGGCCCCCTCCCCATTCTCCAATCACCACTCCGGGATGATAGATGGGGCGGTGGAGACGACCCAACGTAAAAGTTTGTGGGCCGTGGATGGACAGCTCGGCATGAATATCATCGGCACAGAGTGAGTGCTGGGAATTGGATGAGCCAGAGCGAGGGAGGTGTCAGCACTTTCCCTCCCGTGCGTTTTCACTCTGCCAGATTGAGTCTCATTATCTGACCCGGCTCCTCTTCCGTGGTGACCTAATAATATTGTTTTTAACGAACCTGTCCAACCCCCGACCTCACGGCTTCACCCAGGAATCTGTTTGACTCCAAAAGGAGTCTCTGCTTCTTTTGTGCTCTTTGGTTGGTTTTGAACGGGTGGAGCAAAAATAATGGTTTTCATTTACTTTTTATTTTTTTCCCTCCTCTTTTTAATTACAGTTGCACCCCATCAGCTTCAGCTCTGTATCTGCTGCCGTTTTTTAGTCTGATGAGGATTTTATCGACTATAGATCTGCCCACGCTCAAAGTGAGCCTCCTCGTTTGAGGTGTCACCGAGACAAAGATCTGCACAGAATCTCATTAGGAAAATTAAATTTGTTGTCAGCGTTTATTATTAAAAGTAGGGATCGAACGTTTTCCACATAGGTGGAATTAACGTGGGCGCTCCATTTGCCCCGGAGGTAAATGGAGATTTTTTGGAAATAATCCCTGTCCAATCTGGACACTGCAGCTGGTTCATTTAAAGCCGCTCCCTCCATCCTGACACGCACACGCACAATCGCACGTACACACAAACACTCAGATCTAAAGCCTGTTTTACTGCCAACATGGCCAACATATGTAGGGCAAAAGGAAGGGGGGATTTAGGAGGAGCTGTAAAAATGTATTTTGATGTGTTGGATTTTTTTTCCTAATCCATCCATCACAGTATTGAACATGTTTTTTTTCTTCTCACTCAGACAATGACAGACTTTTGGAGAATAAAAAGTGCAGCTGAAGGGGATTCAGCATCACTGTCAGAACTCTGAAAGCACTTGCTGCTGTTGTTGCGGTGATGAATGTAATTGTCATTCCTCGTTTCTGTTCCTTCTCCGTCTGCCGCGGACCCGTTCTACGTTCTCCTCCTCCCGTGGTCGACTGAACTCAGATCAGCTAAGGTTAAAAAAAAAAAAAAAAAAACAACCCAGAAACATGCTGACCTTGTCTACGCTCTGAGAACACAGAGGCAACACTGATATGGCAACTGCAGCGTGGCAGGCAGCAGAAGTCAGGACTGGAGTCAGATCATCAGGTCAGATAAGTGTGTAGATGATGTCAGTGCTGGTGGCGGGGATGCAATTCTTCCCAGCTCACTGCACAGAAACAATCCTGCAGACTCCGGCGGTCGGAGCCGTCAGCTGTATTGAATGGCCACCGAGGCCCGTTTTCATTTAATTACACTTGGCAGTGAATTAGTTAAATCCTCTTTTTGGAGCAGTGTGCAGTGAACGTCTCGGTCTAAACGGTTTGATGCTGACGTCAATGTGTTTGGTTTATTTTAATTAAGGATGGACTATGCTGGAATTTCCTTTCAATTTCAAAAGAAAACACTGGTCTAAACCAGGATCCTCTGTCGTCTGGTTAAGACTGGACTGGACTGGACTGGACTGGACTGGACTGGACTGTCTGTCTGGTCGTCAAGGTCATCGAACCAACTGCCGGTCAGCTAGGCTAGTTTAGATTAGCCATGCTAGCACTCTTACACATTGGTGTAAATGTTATTTTGTCTCTATGTTCTGCCCTATGATGGACCAGTGAACTGTCCAGGGTTGACCCCACCTCACCTGGTGATTACTAGTTTCAAAGTGGAGAGGGAGGAGTGGGGGGAGAAGGGGTGGCTGCTCTGTTCATCAACACTTTCCTGCTGTTTTTTTTTTTTTTAAGGATTTTTTGAAAATCATTTTGACAAGAAGCAGAAGTCGAGGCAGTCAGTCGGCGCGGTTTAAAGACGTCTACACTTCTTCCTCGCAAACATTACACACACACCCGCAGGCAAACACAGGAACTGACTCTGCGTCTTGAATCAATCTCCTGGACGTGACCCCATCTTTCCCTCTTCCACGTATTGTGTGTTGCTTTCCAGCGAAGTGCTTATTGCTTTCTTTGATTAATCTTCCTCTCCGCTCTCCCCGCCGCACCGGCCCGAGTCAGTGGACTTCCTGTTGGTTTTCAAAACAACCCTTCATGTCAACCTTCCCTTCCCTTCCTTCCTTCCTCCCTCTCTTGTCTCCTTTCTCCTGCATCCTCCCCCGTTGTCTATTCATCACCTCACAGCTCATTGTACAGTATCTTTCTGTCTCCGTCCTCCATCCGTTTCCTTCGCCCCATTACCTCGCGATCACTCCTTCCCACATCCCCTCCCTTCATCTTCTCCTCCGCCTGTCCAACCTCCTGACGCACATTCATTTCTCCCTTTTACTGTATCTCCCACTTCTTCCCTGCATTTCCTCTCCGGCCATTCATCTTCAGGTGCTCTGTCCATCTTTCTCCCTCTCCACCGCCCCTGTCAGATCCCAGCCCTTTTCCTCCCCCCCCTCCCTCCCCCTTTTCCTCCGTCTGGTAGTGGAGCGCTTCCACTCTTGCTGACAGTGCGGTTTGTGTGAACTGAGTGCTGAGCTTCACGGCCCCCTCGCCTCCTATTGCTCCCTCCACCTCATCCTCCTCCTCTGCCTCCTCCTCTGCCTCCTCCTCCTCCTCCTCCTCCTCCTCCCCCTCCCCCTCTCCCTCTCTTTTCTTTCCTCCTGCCTCCCACCTACATACCCCTCCAGGCAGGGGAATTAACCTTCCAGCCCTGGGCTGCTGGGCTTAATGACTGTCTGTGGGCCTCGCTCAGACTGCACAGCCCAGCTGCTAACATCTGGGCCACACTGCCTCTGCACACACACACACATACACACACACACACACACACACACACACACTCATACTCCACACTTAACAGACACCAGTGGCCCTGTGCATGGACAGCATAAAGATACATCCGTTGAATCGGTGCCACAGTCAGGGCGTGTGTCATTATAATTCTTTCTTTATTGCCTGCTGCACAGATGTGGGAGTCTCTGCCTCTCTCGCTCTCACCCTCTCTCACCCTCTCTCACTCTTCTCTCACTCCACCTTTCACTGCATGGCTGATCCATGGTGGAAAAAAAAGGAAAAAAACCCAGTAATAACGTCGCTGTTGTTTTTATTGAGGAAATTGTTTGTTCATTTCCTCAGGACACAGCTCCACAGCTCAAGTGTGGACCATCATCGGCAAATAAAAAATACATGCAACATAAAAATCAAACCCGACCTTTTTAAATAGTTCATCTGGAGAAAGAGCTTTTACCGTGGTCAGCTAAGAAATAGACGCAACTCTCCAGCCACTGCAGGGTAATAGGAATGGAACTGATAAGTGGAAGGAGGATTTTTTTTTTTTTTTTTTTTTGCCTCTCCCCTCCTCCCTCTGCGGGTCACCCCCGGAGTATTCTGTGTAGGTAATGCAGTAATATGACTAGATAGTGTATTTCATTATTTATGCATGGGCATAAATGTTATAAAATAGCTGCTGCGAATGCATCTGGTGTAAATTGAATCAGTATCGTTGACGACTGCTCCAGCCCACCGCTGTGGGTTTAAATAAAATTATTCATAAGTGCAAAATCGAGAGAATCTAAAGTCAAGTTCCTGCAGTTCTGTTCTGTTGCTCTGTGCAACTTTATCAAGATTTTTGGAGTTATTTATTCGGTTGTGCTGAACACTGCTTGTCAAAAAGCGTTTTGTTGTAGTGTTTACATGGGTGTAAAAAAAAGAAAGATGTTCAATCCTTGGGGCATGGTTGACTTGGACATTTTTTTGACATGTCTATTTTACTCCTCAGGTTGATTCCACCGCTCATATGAACCGCTGCTATTATACTTCAATCTCTGCCACTCTCTCTCTCTCTCTCTCTCTCTCTCTCTCTATCTGTTTGCCTCTGTCTTCGTCTAAGGAGTGAAGGCGGAAGGGAGGAGGAGGAGGAGGAGGAGGAGGTGGAGGTGGTGGGGGGGTCCCGTTGGCATTCTTTAACAAGTCTGTGACTCACTCGTGTTCAGAGAGTCATCTGTAGATCAGGAAGACAAAAAGACGCTCCAGAGTCTTGGTGTCAGTCAACAGGTAAGAACGGCTCTGCTTTTTCACATGCAAATCCACACACCTATTCAAAGCTCCTTCTTTTTTTCTTTTCTTCCTCAAGTCGGAGCTGTGCCCTCTGTGTCTGCCTGCATCACTCTTCCTTCTCCGTGCACTTAAGGCAGGTAGATGTGCTGGAGTGGCAGAAAGGTTGAAAGAAGGTTTTTGCCTCTGTGTTTCTCAACTTTTTCCTGAGTAGAAAAGGTTTGTGAAAAGTGTGTAACTGGGAGCCAGAAAAAACCATTGAACTTGGACATTTTGTGCAGGAGAAAGTGAATACAGGACACACACACACACACACACACACACACACACACACACACACACACAGACAGCTTCATTTACTGTCTTGAAGTTTTACAAGTCATGGATATGATCTGTCTGCCACTGAGCTGCTGGACCAGGCTGATAACATTAGTTCTGTCTTCCCTTGTGTGTGTGTGTGTGTGTGTGTGCGCAGCACATGTAGCTGAATCTTAATAAGACTTCTTAAATAATGCCATGTTCTAATGAACGATCAATGATTGGTTCCCACTGATAATCTAATCTGCGTCTTCTAGTGAAGACTCAGTGTTAAGGTGGTAATGGCCCTCGGTGCTGCTTCTCCTCTCTACAGTAATTGGAGCCACGGGCTACAGCAGAGATTGGTGAGAGGTGAGGTCGGCATTATGATGTAGAAGCACATCTGAATTGTGCCGAGGCTAAAACCTCATTTTCTGCCCGTTGACTGATTTCATGGGGATTCACAATAAATGGGTCTGTGATTGAGTCATGAACGACACCTTTAATAAACTACCTGCGAGGGTTCGCCTGAGCGGCTAAGCTACCGCTAATGTCCTTGTGAGGAGATCGGCAGCCGTGTCGCTGAGAGCGAATGAAATTTCACATCAAAGTTTTTTTTTGTTTTTTTATTTTTGTCTGTGTGTGTGTGTACAGCTGCTGCTGGGGAGAAATGAGGACAAATGTAAAAACCATTTACGTTTTTATCGGTCTTTGATCATCGGCTGTGTTTAAAGCATCTCTGGAGCTGTCTCTTTGTTTCTTTTCTAATGGCAGGCTTTTCATATAAAGGAAACCAGCGAGCGTCAGTGAATCAGCCTGGTTTAAAGTAGCTGCATTTTTAAAGCCATTAAGGCAGGTGTTTAACTTGGTAATGGAAATGTAGGGAGTTCAGGAAGGCTGCGTCTGCTTTCATTAAAAAGTCCAAATGAAACGATGACTCATGAAGTCTTCGCCGCAACCTTTCGCCGTTGACCAAACACAAGGCAAATTGGAGAAAGGCGCGACTTCCTTTGGAGATTCTTGGTGGTGAGAGATAAAACGCCGGTGGCAGACCTTATAGGACGACACAGTCTTTGTATTTACCGACGTGACATATTAAAACGAGACAGCGATAAAGAGAAGACAGACACTTTTAACCTCTGGGAGGAAAGAAAAAAAAATCCATTCACTCAAGAGCCAAGTAATCGGGCTTGTGTGTTGGCAGCGTGCGTGCTGTGGGCTCTGAAATCCACAAATGATTTGAGGGTGGAAAAAAAATAATTGAGTGTGAGTTAATTCTTATCAAAACCAGTTGGAGTGCAACTAATCGACTGAGGGGAGATGCGTCAAAGGGCTGTTGCTTTCAATTCATTTTGTCTATTCAGATGTGAAAATATTTAGTTTTCAATTAAGTAAATCACTATTATTTGTTCCACTCCTACAGCAGATAAATTGAAGTGATTACTAAGTGACTCAAAATCCACAGAGGCCTCTTCCCAGTCCAATAAGGCAGAGTATTAGATGCAGTGTGGGTACAGATGCACTGCAGCGACTGCATTATTACATCCAAATTGTTCAGTTCATGAGATTTAAATGAATGTGTACCATAATCCAAACAGTGCCGGCGTCTTACGCTAATCTATACACCGTGATTAATACTCTGTGAACCATGTTTTTTTTACCATTTATTGCTAATGTTGGATAATTGCATAAATACGTCCTTGCCTTCCAGTTATTTTCAGCGGTTGTTTATCTCTAAAAGACAAAGTAAAACAAATGAGGACCATTCAATAGTAAATAGACGTCTTTGCCCCCTAGTGGTGAAGGTGATCTGTGACAATGCAAGGGTTAATGATCATATCGAATGGTAGTAGTCTTCAGTTATCACTGAATCTGTTGAGGTTATTTAGGTTAATTTAAAAATATGCCAATCCAACATGGCCGCCTCCATGGAGAAAAAGAAAGTCACAGAAAGTCAATAAGAGCAACATATTATATCTACTGTATATACTATATTATATATATATATATTTGAATATATATTTATTTGCATACAATATATACTGTAAATGCATACATTATACGAATACTTGTGTTGAAATTCTAACTGACAAACAACCAATTCTGCTGCTTATTTTTTCTATGAACATGAAATCCCTAGAAGGAACCCAAAATGGAATGACAAAGATCTGAGGCTGAAGTACCGTAGGACCTTGTCAAAAAGCCTTCACAACAGAATACCATTGTGACATAATTGCGAGAAGCAGAGTCTTGACAATGGTGAATGTAATCAGTTTAGAAGATAACTGACAGTTTGGTAACTGTGGTTCAGAGACCAGAAGACCCTGAAACTCAACGGTTTGGAGAAACGCACTCTGAAAGGACCAGTTGAATGAACTCAAATTCAAAGAGAAAAGTATCTTTCAATAACTAGGTACAGTATAATTTAATTCCAACTGTAGCTTGAATCTGCGGACAGGCAACAGCAACGCTGTTGACCGTTGAGGAAGAAACTAAAACAAGTGGATCGTACAGCACACAGAGAACAGTCGGAGCCGTTTTAACAAACATCCAACAGCTGACTTTCTTGCTAACAGCGAACGATTCATGGGAAAACATGTACTAACAGACGAAACAAGGACGAGTTGGAATCACTTCTGTAATTAAATGGATTGTTAAATACGAGCCTCAACCTGTGGTTCTGTAATGTGTACAAATGATGAATTGGAGAGTTTGGATACTTGACATTTATGTGTTTTTTTTCTGCCTGCTATGTACTCCCAGAAGTATGTGTGAAAATGGGTTTTTTACTGTCCTGCAGTTTAAATGATTTCATTAAGTGTGATGATGTCACGGTACATTTTAATTACCGTATACAGTAGATGTCCTGCGAGAGAGGGAACGAGAGCGGGCGCAGGAAGCCGCGGTCTAATGAGGTCATTGAAATCTCTGCGTTCACTCTGTATGCAGATCACACATCATCAACACAATGGCCGTGATATGGATTCAGAACCTTTTTAAGATTGGTATAACACCATTATTAGATTTATTTAAAGACGTCATGTCATCTGCAGTCGCAGGATTAATGGCCTGATTGGATGATTGATTAAGTCATTTTCTGAATAATTGAATGTTACTGTGATGACACTGCAAACGTGCCTGGAATTTTGTTCAACTGTCCAGTGGCCGATCACTGACACAGTTGCAGATACAATATAGTGGGTTTTCTGCAGAAATACATTTTGTGTTTTTTTAGATGTATTTCCAGCACCATAAGGAGAAATTTCATTCTCTTCCGTTTTGTTTTTCTTGACTGTTTGTAGCGTCGGAGAGGTCAGGCGTCAGTGGTGGAATGGACGTCCTGTCAACGTGGAGTCTGTTTTTCTCAGCGTTATACATCTGCGGTAAGAGATTTTTCTTTTTTCCACTACAGAAGGATTGTTGCAGTGACTGACCTTTTCAAGTCCCATTCATGTTCAGGCAGTGTAGGCTAACATGTTTGGAGCTTTAAGTAGGTCCTTTCATAGGACACAGCTGTTATAAAAACACTGCTGTGGCCTCGGTACGTCAACCTTTGACCTCGGTTAATTACACAGTCACCTGTGACCTAGATGTGTTGGTGTTATTCCACATTTCAACTACTATAGAGACCATGTGGACCAGAACACCTCGGTGAGATACTGTGTCAGTGTTTATCCATGAATCTGGAATTATTTCACTGACTCATTTGCTTAGAGAAAATTAGTTTCACACTGACTTAAAAAGATGAATTGATATAAAACATTTAAGGTGACACACAGATGTCCTAGGTCTGGCATTGGCAAACCGTGGCTCGGGGGCCAGTTTTGGACCGTTTGGCTTTTTTTATCTGGCCAACCTTCACGTCATAAATCGCAAAATCACTTATTCAATTAATAATGACTTCCTTGATACGGGATTCCCAAAATACGAGTATTCCATGTTACGAGTCGTAACAACTATCGCAAGATTTTGCTCCTGATACGAGGAAGTACCTAGTTACGAGTGCTCAACCAAGCTCCATTTTTCCACCCAAATTTGAAGAAATGACACTGTCACGCAGTCTCACTCCCTTGCTGAGTTATTTTACCCATTTTTATAATAATTATTATTTATATTATCATTGTATCTGTTTATATTTGTTTTTGGTGTTTAGATGATTAATTGAATTAATTAATAGTATATTTTTTGGGCAGAGGGAACAAATTAATTGGATGTAGTCAAGTTTAGATTAAACTTGTATCTAGGGAGTCCACTGTATTGTATTAGAATGGTATGAAAAAGAAATCACATTTGCGTCAAAACCTTAATATGACAAAACATCTTCATACATCTGCACTCAGCAGTAATGGTTGCTATAATCATTGTTACCCTTATATTGTGACATGCCTTAATCAAAGCTGAACCAACACTTACATCCGTTCATCGTTTCTGCTCTTAGCAGTTGTCAGTGTGACCACTTTTGTCCTCTAACAGCAGGTGTAGGTGTAGTTAGGGTTAGGGGAGGATGCAGAAATAAGACGTAGTGTAATCCTTATTATGATCCAGAAGTGGATGCTCGCCACCTGTCTCTAAAATTCCCCTTAGCTTTACAGGGCGTTAACAGTGTGTTTTAATGTCATTCATTATTTTGGTTTTATGGCCTGCTTTACTGTTTTGGTTCAGTATCACTGCTGTCATCAACTTTGTTTCCAGGTTCACAGTTGCAGCCGTCAGCTGTTTTCTAGCTCAGCCCAGGTGCCCTGCACCGAAACAGTCTGTGATACTGAAGTTTAACTTCAGCTCTTTGGTCACGAGTGGTGAAAATGCACTTTGGTTTATAATGGAACATTAAATACACAAGGGTCAGAAGTAAAAAAGAAAATCAGACGTCATCATTTCAAAATGTCTTCCCCGTGCAGTACATCAGAATAACGGAACCAGACGTTCCTAATAAATTCATAGGAGATGGTGACATGGACACGAATCGCTGTACAGACTGGGCCTCGGACAACAGTCCCTGAACGCCACACAGGACTTGAATTTACTACTTTTAATTAGTCGATAAAAGATGGGGGACCAAAATGAAAAATATCCACGGCAAATTAATTTAGCCTTCATCTGTCTGTTTCTACGATCATACACTACAGAGGCGTGGAGCAGCCACTGAAGATGACTCTTGATATTCATTTATGTAAACTGGATGCAAATGTGCCCCTGTGTTTGGTTGTTTGTATGCGTCCTCCGTAAGGGGCCAATCTTGCCCTTCATATTTGACGTGAGGTGACTGGTTCCGCCTTGATCTGAGAGCTTTGCCTCTCACTCATGTTGTCAGAGGCACCGGAGCATGCACTTCACAAACAACTTGGTCACTGCTTCAATGAAGGTCAAGATTCAAACTGCCGAGCAGAATCAGGGGGTGGGTGGGTGGGTGGTTGGGTGAGGGGGTTATTTAGATGAGGTTCACATTTAGATGTTGGACCCCTGATTAGGATAAGCGTCGGTTCTCCACTCTTTGAACGGAATTAATTCATAAAACCCCGGCTGCGGTAATGACTTATTTTAAGATGTGTGCCTGGTGGGTGGTCTGCTGTGGGATCTCCACACTCTACTATAGAAAGTCACCCAAGAGCGTGGCTGAAGGATGTCCCGACCCCTCCTATGATAAACAAGGGGGGATTAAAGTGATAATCATTACTCTTCCCCGGAGGAATTAGCAGTCGAGACATTGAAGCTGAAGAAAAACCGCAGGTGAACCGGGCCTCTGTGACCCCCGCGTGCTTTTTCTCTCTGACCAATACACTATCTGCACGGCCAGGAGGGGATTTAATTCGCAGTAATTACTTTATTGACTCATTTTCAGGGCCGTATCACTGTAGTCTCCCATCAATAAAACATATGCCAGGCTGAATAATGTGGCCAGACACAATAGGGTGTCCTCTCAGACAAAAGACCTCATGACTGGACCCCTGCGGTGTGTCTTTGTCAAACAAACCTTGCTCCTTTTTTTATTTTTTTATTTCTCATTTCTTCCCTGACATTTCATGCAAATTCACACTCCAGTTCCCGTCCACGGCTTTACATTGAGTCTCACTGCATATCATTCCTGTCCTTCAGTTCCAGTCCAGATGTTTTCTTTGTCCTCTTTCCATGTCCCCCAGGCACCCAGGCCCAGCAGGTCTTCAGAAATGAGCCCAGGAACCAAACTGTGAGGATGGGGGCCACAGCTGTGCTGAGGTGTGAGGTGCTGCGGGCCTCTGGGACCGTGCAGTGGGTCAAAGATGGTCTCCTCCTGGGACCTCAGAAGAGCCTGCCAGGCTTTCCACGCTACAGTATGATTGGAAACCCCAAGAGAGGTAAATGGAGATGTTCACAGAATATGTAGCCTGTGGCATTTTGAATTTTTCAATGTTGATGTCCGAGCAAAGCTAATGTGTCGTTTGTAGCCACTGAAGTACAGAGGTTTGTGTGTGAAACCCTCACTAGATGATGCTTTTAGGTAAACGTGTTTGAAATAAATGAAAGGTAAATGAGATGAAATTATCCAAGTGACGAGAATGAAGTTAAAATAAGTCCGTCTTACGTATAAAAGGAGAAAGTTTTCAAAGAAAACACGTTATAATCTGATTATCTGATGACATTTTCAATTATCGGTTCGTTGAGACGCTGAGATGTTGTTGTTGACAAGTTCTAATTATGAAGTACAGGTTCTGCTGAAAACCTTATAGCACCTCTTTCTATGACATATATATATATATATATATTTCCAACATCTGGGGCCGTGATCGACGACACACTCTCACACCTCCTGCTGTCACTCACGTTCAGACAAGACAAGAGTGTCACTGGTGTCAGCAAATCAGCGAAATGAGAGAGTGTTGCAGAATCTACAGCACAGTCTATAAAAAGTAATAGCCAATTAGAAAGAGAGCAGCAACTGCTCCTGATGGAGCTGCTAATGGACCAGACTCACTTCTCAGGTACGCCGTGTGCTTTTGTTTCACAGAGATAGGTGTAAGAGATAGCACACAGAGTTAGCCTTGCTCTCACACAGAGGCCACCGTATGCTACTAAGTACGTCAACTGTGGTCGAGGCGAGTGGAACGACAGAGCTGCAGGAGTAGACGTAGTAAAAGTTCAAATACTCGGTGTCAACCAACCAAGTTTGTAAAGGAAGACTTTTTTGGCCTTTGACCCCATTTTGAGGTCACAAATTTCTGCCAAACCCAGAGACTTTTGTTTTTCTAGAATTAGTTTTTGGTCACGTTTGTTAGCCTGTGTAGGATGAAGGTGAGAGGGTCTGGAGACGAGGGATGTTGGAGGGGGAGTGACCAGGTACAGGTATGGTCAGAGTCAACGCAGAGGAGGACGAGGGTGAGATGAAAGGAAGGAAACAGCCTAAAGAAGAAGAACATCAGAACATGCACTCTAAACAAGAACAAGACCACACACACACACACACACACACACACACACACACACACACACACAGATGGACACGTGCACACAGCTCCCATTCTGACACTCAAACCAACACTTGTGCATAAATTAGCCATCAGCGCAGGTACACTCTACCAGGAAAAGAAACCACAAGGAAGTACAGCCGGCTGATGTATGCAATCACTCCACACTGCAAAATCATTCAAGATGGCACTTGACTGCACTTGTTCCTTCACCAGTTCCACTGATTGTCACCACTGGGGATGTTTAATGATGCTTAAAAAAGCCAGGCTCACAGGACGAGGCCAGCTTTGATTTCACCATATACTTAGAGCAGATGTAGCACCCTTATTTCCCTTAAGCTGCAGCAGTGATGCAAATATCGACGGGAGCCCAAATGATAGACGTGGGTTGTTTGTGAAGAGGAATGCACAGAGCACAACAGATAAACCGCCTGGTCGAAGGCACCAGGGCATTAGCAGGATTTTATTATAAAGTAGAAGCTATTATTTAATTGGGTGGTGAGTAGTTATAAACGCAACAGGTTTTGATTAAAACACCTTTGTCATGCACATTTTTTGACTCTAAATGAGAAGCCAGACAGCTACTCTTTTTTTTTAAAGTTAGTACATTTTAATTCATTTGGACAAATAGTAGGAAAGAATAGAAAACAAACGGCCTTCATTATGTCAACGGAAAAAAATTAACGATAATTTCATTTTAAAACAGCAAAGACAATTTGTACAATTATGCTAGGTTTTAAATTATTTTCATCACAGACTTGATTAATAAAATGAATAAGAATGATTGAAAATTAGATTTGATTTGAAATTCTTTATTAACCTATTTATTGTTTAATTATTATTAGCAGCGTTTTGTTTTTTTTACACGACCTACGCAAGATTTTTTCCACTTTACATTATAACAGCCTTTGGACCGTGTGTGGAGAAACAGAATCCAGACCAGTCAAAGGCTTCAACAAGTCACAGACTGAAGCTCTCACTTCAGTAAGGCTGCACTTCCTTTGCCTTTGGCCACTTCCATCGGGAACTGTCTCTCTGGTTTTGAAGCCGTGACTGACACTGACACTGACACGTCTGTACCGGTCTGTACCACTGCATATAAATGACATGAAATAAAGTGTCCATTCACATGGCGGGAAAACATTGATGGGACGTCGTCCTAAAGACGCTCACTTTGTCACGAGGCAGGATACCTGGTCGCCCGTGACTGACATGAATAGACTAGTTTCCCAAACTTTTTTTCTGGGCACCTGTATTTTAATAGTCACAAACCCAACCCTTCGCAACCCAAGTCACACAACCTGAGGGTCACGACCCAGTCTTTGGGAAACAATGGAATAGACTAAATGTCTCTTTTTCCCGATAAATAACAGTTTGAGTTCTTCACCAAATTACACATTTTGGTGTTCACTGCATGTTGAGGACAGGGAATCGCGTTTACAGAACCTCCAGAGTATTGTGATGTCTGAAGAAAGGAAACTGATTAATAACTCAAATGTCTCTGTCTGTCTGTGCACTCGGTGATAACTTGGACATGAAAATTGCTTCTGGTTGCTGTTAATTATCTTCCCAGATTACTTGACGTATGCATTTTTAGGACTGGGTGGTTGTCAGACCAAGATACAATTTTGCACATGTTAGGCTGTGAGCCAGAGAATCGGGAGATTGAAAACCCGCTCTGAACATCGTCTAATCCCCACAGGTTATGGCAGTGCATCAAACAAATCAAGCCCTGTTGGCAGAACCAATCTCAGAAGAAGAGATACAGAGAGAGAGAGAGAGAGACGCTGCCTGGCACTAATTAATAGACCGTTTACTCCGTCAGAGTCATAAATGTGGGATTTGATTTCTCCTGCAGTATTTGAAATTCATTCTGAAATGGAACGTATCAGTTATGAGTACAGACAAGCGCTCGTACGTCGGAGGAGATGCCTGCAGCAGGTTCTCAGCAAGTCAGTCGTTCTCATCTCCCAGAAATAAGAAAGAAGTGTATTTTTGATATCTAAATCAGTACAGTGCATTATATCGTAATTGAAACGGCAGCGTGTCGTCGTACAAATTGTCTTTATTGTTAATTTTTCATTTCCAAAGTTGAAAATTGCTTCAGTGATGACTCGAGACAGTGACATGGGCACAGAGTCTGCAGGAGACATCTATCACCTGACACGTAATAACTGTGAACAGGGAGTTTGAATTCACTGGAGTGTGAACAGAAAACCTTAATGAACCCCCCCGTCACCCCCCCACCCCCAGCTCCTCTTCTCTGTATTGTAATTATTCATGTGTATTTAGTGTGCATAATGTTTCCACCACCTAACCCTAACTCGCAGTAATAATGAAATTCTTCCGTCTCTGTTGCAGGACAATTTCATCTCCAAATCGAAAAAGCCCGACTGGAGGACGAAGCCGTCTACGAATGTCAGGCTGGCCAGTCTGAGAGCAGCTACGCCATCGTGTCCGCTGAAGCCTGGCTCAACGTTTTAAGTGAGTGAAACTATTAAGTGTTTGTAGTGAGGGGTCGCAGGGGGCGCTCTCTGTCATGATAATAATCTAACAGTGGTGGAGCAGTGGAGTCCAGAACCAGCTGGAATCTGTGGTCTGATTCCTCTGATCGTGGTTAGCAGCATGCTAACTGTGTTCAACATGGTGTGTGGTTAATTTACGATCAATCTACCGACTTTCATGCCTTGTAGTGATGGTACGAGAATGAGAATGTATTAAGGCAGGTATCCACAACCCCCGGTCTGCGGACCGGTACTGGTTCGTAGAAAATTTGGTGGCAGGCCGCAGTTGGACACATCGGAAAATATGTATTTTAATTTTACAAATTTACTTCATTCAAAGAGAATCCACTCACTATTTACTTTCTTTAAAAATAATCTGGTAATATTTAAAAATAATTCAGACTGTGAAACAAACAGAAGTCTAAATTTTTTTATTTTGAAAATGTAATGATCTGAAGTAGCGGTCGGTACCTGCTGACCAGTCCTTGGCAGTTGGGAATCACTGGATTAGAGTTGATACGGAAATGAAACTGACGAAATCAATACTGAGGATTTGTAATTCTCATCAACTCTCATCCATAATGCTGAGTCTTCTAACGACAAGCCTGGGTTCATGGAACCATTCCTCTATTTATCTCCACTGCTCAAAGGACACAGTGCTTGGAGAAAGGATTTAATTCAATGTGTCCCTGGTTCAGCAAAACTCCAGTTCCCGGTAACTCCGAGCTCAAATGATATCCGATGCATGTATGGACCATGAAGAATGTATTTATTTTTTAAACAAGGACTGCGGATGTTCCAGCAGCTCCACGGCTTCAGACAGCTGCCAGACGCGATATAAAGTGCGAGTACAACTCCCGATTCTTTGGCAGGCCTCGGGGCGATCCGTGTCTCCCCTTGTTGCAGGAGGAAGGAATAAATTATAACAGGGATGACTGAAAAGTTTCTTCTCAGACGTATTGTGGAGCTGCATCAGACCACCTGTAGTCGATTCACACCGACCAGTATCTCTCGCTCTCTCTCTCTCTCTCTCGCTCGCCCCCTGTCTCTGCAGTGTGTGGGAGCGAGCCCATATGTGGTGAGGAAGGGACTCTAAAGAACCTTTCTTCTCCAGGCGCGCTTCATTTACTTACAGCCCCCTCCCTATTCTCTCGCCACACAATTCCTCCAACTCGGCCTCGCTTTCAAGCCTTCTCCCTTCTCTTTGCTGTGTGTGTGTGTGTGTTGGGGTGGGGGGGGGTTACTGACTCCTGTCCTAGTGGCCTCTCTCTCTCACTCACTTTCTCTCTCTCTCCTCTGGGAAGAAGGCAGGTTTTTCTGACATCAATGGGCAGCGGGGGGGGGCAGCACCCACAGACGTCTCCTTTGACGGTGTGGGTCTACAGCAGGCCTACACCTGCAGCCACAGCAGGCTGGACTCCCACATTTGTTACCTCCGACATGCCTGGTGCCGTGCGTCCACACTCACAGAGACGGCGCCGTGGCCTTTGGCTTTGTCGGAAAAAGGTCAAAATGCGTGTGCTGCATCACAGCAGTCATATTTGCCGGGCCCGGAGGCTCCCGTGTTACGGCCGCGCTGTCTCACAGCTGGTGTTGTTGTTCCGTCGGCCTGGGAACACTTTCCAGCTGTTGACAGTTTAAGACGGACAGTTGCAGCTGCGAAGGGCAGCGCGTGGAGCTGACTGACTTCGACAGTGGCTCGACAGCCTCGGTCCTAAAGGGTCATTAGTTCCACACCGACAATTCAACTGATTCAAAATACGTGACTAATGTGGGCCTTGATAATGAGGTGATGAATTCAATCTCCTGTTAGTGCTGAGCTGGGACCAGAGAGTGTGCGCTCGTTTGAAGAGCACTGTCTCTGATGAGTTCCCCGCGGACTTCTCTATCACCGAGCTACGGCTCCCAAGGCCCCACACCCTTGGCCACTCAACCATAGGCATATCCTATCAAGCCAGGCATCAAATCAAAACACTATAAACTCTTTATGAGGAGATACATTGGGGGACATGGGAGAGAGCGAGAGAGAGAGAGAGAAAGACCAGAACTAGCAGGTCATGTGACTTGGTTCTCAGGTCAGGAGGAGTGGAACAACGACTGGCTAATTCAACATGGAGTCGCCACAGGCCGTAAATTGCCAAGATGGAAAGAAAATGTCAATAAACCTCATCGGCCGTCTTACAAAGAGATGTTTCCAGACGTTTCTATTGGAGAAACTTAACTCCTGTGTGTTTCTGACTTCCTGCGGGGCTCAGACGGGGGGATTACTGCAACAGGCAGATCAAGTGGCACTGAGTAATCCATAACAATAACAACCCCTGCCACCTCCACCTCCACTCCCCCCACTTCAAACTTCCGTGCCGTCACACACCTGACACATCCTGTGTCTCGGTTCATAACGTTAGCCTGAGGAGTTAATCCTGTTAATGAACGACTCCCTCCCGTACGGACGACACTCGCAAATGTCTCAAACATTTATTTGATGTTGTTCTGGTTTGAGACTCTGACTCATTGGGTTGACACGTTTGGTGTGTGCGTGTGTGTGCGTGTGTGTGTGTGTAAGCTTATTATTAGCATTGGTTGGAGGTTAGAGGACATCTGAGGAGCCTGCGCCGCGCTAAGGTTTTGCGGCGGCTAATGAGTTTAGCACTTGAAGAGTATATAATGAGCCTTCATTTCATATTTTTGGCTGCTACGAATAATTGAACAACTTCTAAAACGGGGGGCACCGGCAACGAAGAACAAGGTGACGTTATTCTTGAAAAAAAGTTGTGACAAATTGATGTCCCTCCTTAAGAGGACAACGTGACGCACGCTTGTGTGACGTTGTGCGTTGTTACCGTGGCAGCCAGACGGATGGTACGGTGAGTGGGGGGGGGTCTTTACAATTAGTTAGGGAGCAGCTCCTGAAGAAAAGCAGAGTGAGATTCTTAAGTGTTTGCTTTTAAGTACTTTAAATTTATCTTCAGGGTCGATCCAACACTCGGACTGTTTAGACCTTGGTCTGTTTAAATGGTCCGCTGAGGACCGGGAGTCTGATGAATAGGAATTTAACTGCAAGGAAATGGAATCCAAACAAAGAGTAAAATACACCAGGATGTAAAAAAAAAGGGGTAGTAGATGTTGAGAAGCTGTTTGTTGGGAGAGGGCGTTCTTATTTCTGTCCCTCTGGAACAAACAGTACCGGGGACTGTGCGCTTCCTTCAGGGGTGAAGAATTAAATGTGGCTTCAGAACAGTAACGTCAGAGTTAGGTTTGGGGTTTTTTAATGCTCACTTGGACACACCAAGTCCAATAAATTTACATAAAACTTTCTTTGAAAATCTGGGGCACAAAAATAATATCTGAAACATTTTCTAGAAGTTTTTCCCACTGGGTGATTTATTCCACTCCAAGAAGACAAAGAAAACCAAAGTACACTTTCTTTTCTGCTTTTTCTGTGTGAAATTGTTGTTGTCCTGGAGACCAGGACTCATGACTGAGACTTGGATTCACCTATTTCCAGGGAGTCAAAAACTAGATTTTGTGTTGGAGAAGACGTTACCTTTTTTTCTTGGACTCACTATAGACTTTGATTTGATTAAAACCTCTTCTGACTTTGACCTCCACTAAACCAGTTTCTTGGGTTTTTTTTTTTTGTCTTGTTTGATTCTGATTGGACTCAGAATCACTGGATCATTGATCTATCCAATCAATGATTGGAGAGAATTTTTGACTTATTTAACGTCAACAGTACCATAATAGCTCTTAGCTGGTAACATGTTGGTGCTTTGGTGTTATGTGTCACTTAACCTTTCGTGTGACCGACATCTTTTGTTAGCTGGTTCTGGATTCGGAGCACAGGAAGGAGACAGAGAGGAAAATAAGGCTGAAAAAGCGCGCGGATTCAGAGGCTACCAATTTCACAGATCACACACCTGGGACCTGCAGTGTGTGTGAAAACCACAAAAGAAAACGTATTCCTGCGTGGATTTTTCCTGCTCATCTTTGTCTTCCAGAGATAACACTGATGAGTCGTGGCTGTTTAGCTCTTATTTACAGTGTTGTTTTTTTCCCCTGTTTGTTATCATCTGAACAGTGCACATGACTCACTCGAGGTTTTGGAGGGTTTTTTTTTTTATTATTAATCACCCATATCCGTGTTCTTTGTGCCAATCTGCCTGCACTGTAAACAGGAGTTCATCTTTGGGTGTTTTGGGTGAAATGGAGTAAAAAGGTTGTGTGCGTCTGTACGGGAGTGAGCGGGAGACGGAAATGTAGAAAAGCTGCTGGTGCATATTGATGTGTGTGTGCTAATCTGCTCCTTATCTGCCTTATCCATCCATCCGTCTGTATTTGTCTGATGAATCGAATTTCGCGGCTCACTGTTTCTCATCTGAGTGTCAGGAGCAGGTCTGTCTATAGTCGTGTTCTTGTAGCGTTGCGTACATTAACGAGACGAGAGACGAGTCGGAGCGTAGGGGAAAGAGAGACAAACAGTGAAAGTAAGTGGAGAAGCCAACAGGCAGGTAGACAAAGAGCAGGCAGGAAGAGTTAATTAAGAGCGCAGCGTGTTTGCTGACTGCTCTTTCCTCTGAGTACATTTTAAGTAAATTGAACATAATGTGTGTTTCGTTGCCGCTCCACGCGGGCTACCTTACTTGCACAAATGTGTACGAGCGATTGAGGCTCGTCCCACCGGCTTGAATGGCCCACGTGGTGTTCCTGAGTGGATGTGATGGATGGTTGGCTGTAATTCCCGGTCCAAGATGGAACACACCGTCCCCCGCATTTCTGCAGTTTAACTGCAGTGGTCAAGAAGGATGGTGTGCTGAGAGAAGGGGGTGGGCACCGGCTGCTCCAGAGGGATGATGGAGTGAATGTGAGATAAGAGGAATGGGCCGGCGTGAGCGAGTGAGCGAGGGGGAAAAAAATTAGATACCTGCCTGCCTCATTTGCGAACATATCATTATTCTTATTTTAGGATTTGTTAGGCTGCCAGACACTCCTGGAGCACAACAAGTGATGTGCTTATGTGAGTCATGCAGGCCCCGGGAAGATAGAGAGTGCAGGGGCTGTCAATAGATGCATGGCGCAGTCATCTTCGCAGGGAAGAGGAGGGGGGGGGGAGGGGGGAGAGGGGAGGTGGGGGAGACAAACAAATGCATCTCATTATTGCAGTGCGCGCCTCTGCAGTGCTCTGGGTAACCCATCACAGTCCACACAGATTCAATTGCTTCTTTTAAATCAGTTTGAAGCTGCAGCCACATCTCATCTGTCTCAATAGCAGACCAGAGCCAATGGGTGTCTCTGCACACTGCCACAGCTCCTCCTAGTGGCTGGGAATCTGTCTCAGCTGCCAAACGTGAGTGAGAGAGGGGCTGATGACGGCCTGCTCCGGTCGCTGCTGGGGCAGCTGTTTACCCCACACATTAGCAGTGGATTTGTGTGAGGACTCAGCAGCAGCAGCAGCAGCAGCAGCAGCAGCAGCAGCCGCAGCCCGCCCCCAGCTGCTCTTCCACTCTGCAGTCTGTCTTATTTCTTTTCTCTTTTTGCTCTCACTCCAGCACAGATCTCTGCTGTCGTCTCCCTCTCTCTCTCTTCCTCTCTCTCTCTCCATCTCTCTCCCTCTCCCTCTCCCTCTCTCTCTCTCTCCGTTGTTGATACACACACTCAGCCTACCTGTAATCACAAACTCGGAGCACTGTTTTTGAGCTACGATGAAAGAAATACCACAATAACAGTAACCGGTTTCTAATTCCAGAAGCTCACAAAAAAAAAATAGAAACCAGACTTCTGAAGTCTGATCTGAAGAATATTTTCTAATGACAAGAACCTGACAGATATTTAAATTTATTGCCAAACAAATATTTTTAAGGGTTTTTCGTTTCTACATTTCCACTCCATGGTCATATGAAAGGATTGAAGAGAAGAACAGCAATGAAGTGGTGATTGCTTTGATCAGTGCTTTTTTTTTTTTTTTTTTTTTACTTGACCATGATGTTTGCTTGGTTGGTTGGTTGGTTTTACGAAAGGAGGAGGAAAAAAATCAATCATTTTCTTCCGTCGTTTCTTTTTCTTTTCTTCCCCTGTCCAAAAAATGGTGCTTTTACTCAACAGAACAACGAACCCTGATGTTCTAAATTAGACACCCTGCAGCAGATAACACTCCACTCTGCTCCCGATGTAACAAGTACTCATTATCACATCACTGCGTACAGTTAATATCTATTTTTGACAGCAGCGTCCACTAACCTGAAATTAGTGCATCAAATATAGGCTCTAAATAAATCAGTTCATGAAAATGCTGGGCTTTTTTGTCTTGTCCTCTACAGTTCCCCCGTCCAGCCCAAACTTTGAACTGGACCTGGAGGAGACACCATGGGTCGCTGGGAGGATGTATACCATCGCTTGTGTCGCCGCCGATGCGAAGCCAGAGGCTGAAATCAAGCTTTTCAAAGGTAAGACGGCCTTTGACGTGTGAAGGCGAAATATCCAAAAATTCCAAACACTTTCTGTGTGGAAATTGTTCCGAAGCTTCTCCTTTAACTAAATTACACTCCACATTTTTTCAGTGCTCTGGGATTTCCAGAGGTAACAGCAAGAATATTTAATAGGAGGAAAAACAGAGCTGAAGTGTAGAACGTGTCTGTTTTCATAGTCTTCAAAGTAACGGGTTGAAAAGAGCACGCTCTGAGTGGGAGGAAATATCTGTAACAGTTGAATGTCCAACGTCCACTCTAACAAAAATCTCTCCTTTTTACTGTCTCTGCCGTGCACGCACGCACGCACACACACACACACACACACACATGCAAAAAACAGTAAAAGATTTAATAATACTGAGACCTTGACTCCACAAATGTTGGAATTCTCTTTGTAAATTAAGGGTCAGTCAGTCAGTCAGTCAGTCAGTCAGTCAGTCAGTCAGTCAGCACTGATTTCCTTACAAAAACAGGAACATATGGGGGTGACGGCCAATGAGAGCTATGTTTCTTTGCTGGGGCGGGACATTTAAATGGAGAATGTCATAAAATCCCAATTAAGATTTTCAAACAGCTTAGTTAATTTTATCAGCATGAAAATGTCTCACACACACACACACATATATATGTTTTTAATTTTTGGAGTGTTTTTTTTAATATGTGTGAAAGATGAGACCTGATTAAAAAGTCTTACTTTTTAAATCTGATGAATCTTGTGATGCAGCCGATCATGTTAGGCTTTGTTCATTCATTCATTCAGACTTCAACATTGGCCTTAACCTTTGACCTTTCTGCCCATCTGTTTCTCCTGACTCATTATATTCTAACTTACTGTAGATGAGAAACATTTTGAACATGAACAGACAGATTCTCTGCGGTCAAAAACACCTAGCCTTGGGTGGTGCTCCTTTGACCCCTGAACCTTCGTCCACCCTAACTGCCCACTGAGCCATCACACAGGATGTCACTTTTCTAACCTTTTTCAGGCTTTGTTTGCCTGTAGATTAGATTTCATTGATCCCACACTGGGAAAATCGTTGACTGACTGTAAGAAGTTGACAAAGTAAGAAAATGGAGGTTAGAGTGAGTTTCCAAATAGCTGCTTAGAGTTTTTATTGCATATTTAGTAAGTGTGCGAACGTTGTTAGTGTATGAATTTAAAATGGTCTTTGAAGGTTGGCGATATTGTGCGCAATTTTAATAAACCATTTGGTCAATACGCCCCGTAGCAGTTTTAATTTAAATGGAAAGATGGTGAGAATTATTCTGGTATAAATGGTAATTATACTGTACTTAAGAGTATTACAGATCCACACATTTTGAAGGATGATGATGATGATGATGATGATGATGATGATGATGATGATGATGATGATGTTTTCCCTGAACAATGTCCACCCTGTGTCCTGTCTTCACTGTTGTGTCTCTCAGACGGAGCGGAGCTGACAGGTGTCGGGTCTTTCTCCATGCCTGGCTCAAAGGACAAGCTGCTGAACACACATGCTACAGTAACGTACGTGTCCGTCTGTCCGTCTGTCTGTCGGTCTTCACATGAACCGGCCCGGTCTTTCCAAGTCTGGCTTGTGTTTGATGTTTGCTCCCCCACCCCCGTCCCCTCTTTGTTTTTCGACTGCTCTTATTTTCTCCCTCTGTTTCAGTAAGAAAAACACATTTCTGTTACTTGCCACAGCAGAATTAAATTAGCTTCTGTCAAAAGCACAAAATTACATTCCAGCAGGGAGACTGATCCATCCTGAGCGGTTCGCCAGGTGCCCATACATTAAACAGCACGATGAATTACTTTAATCCTGCTTGTCTTCACTGTGTCAGAGATAACAACATCTTGTCATAACCTGAAATAACGTCGGTGCTGAGGAGGAGGAGAACAGCCAGAGGTTTGAAGCTGTATCTGTGCTCTCCTCCTCACGCCCAGTATGCCCAGCAGTGGGCAGTGTGTGGTTGCTCCCCTTGACTCCATGCTGTATATAATGTACAGGAAATATAAACCGAGTAAAACTGTATACAGGGCTCACCACGTCTTTATGTTTATATATTTATTGTTTAGTGCCACTTTATTTTAAATTGCGTTAGCCTTCATGAGAGTTGAAACTCGTCAGCGATTCTAAACCTTTGAGGCAACAATGAACAGGACGACTGAAAACCTTCACTGAGTCCAACCCCAGTGTTGATAATACTTTAATTACATTTGATTCCACTGTACCTCTGGCTAAATGTGACCATGGTGTTATATTGTGAGTCATTTTATGACTCTATAATTTCATCTGTTTTTCCGTTACATAACCAAAGATTCACCGCTTTGAGCTCTGACCATGGGAGACCGATGTTGTGTCAGGCGAAGAACGCTGCCCTGTTCCGACCTGTGGAGACCACGTTGACCATGAATGTTCTCTGTAAGTGTCTCCGTCTGTCTGAGAACTGACAGTAGGCGCTAACAAGAAAACACACCGCCGTATATAAAACACTCTCAACCACAGAGGAGCTCAACCTCAGGCCTCCGTCCGGTCTTGTTCGCTCCGTCAGTGTTGGTAGAGTGAGAGGGAAGATTCAACCTGAAGGCAAACTTACACCCACTTCAACATCAGGGGGCATGACTGCTTTACTTCACAAGGCTGCCCCTAGTGGGCTGAGTTTGATATGACCTGCTCTTTATGCTCCTGTCAAACAATGAAAACTAAGGCCGAGTTCACATTTACTTTTAATTTTAAGAAATCGTAGACTTTTACACGTTCGTTGTAGTTGTGTTAAAACACAGACTTTCTACCAGGCAAACTGAGATGGATCACTGCTGAGGCTTTTGGTAGTGAATTTCCATAATACGTTACAATCAATAATATGCCGACCTAAGGGCAGCGAAATTAATAATAATGAACTTAAAAAAATAACCCGGCAGCTTTGGTGCTCCTCGGCCTAATTTAAAATTCAAAAACCACTAAGGCAGAACTTGAATGTTATTATAACTAAAGTGTGCGACTGTGTAATGGAACGGTGAGGCAGCGCAGTGTACAGTGTTGAGATGAGGCGCGAGCAGTTAGCGTCAACATACAATACTGGTGGCATCTCTTTGTTTCTCTCCTGTGTGACAGAGCAGCGCTGGAAGTGACTTTTATCGAATGCACAAACGCTGTCTCACCGCAACTGCTGTTTACTACAGTAGGTCTGAGTATTTTCTGCTCTGTTGATCAGCTGAAATAATTGATTGCCGAGGCCCGGGAGTCTACCCACCTGCTCCTCGCAGGTCTAAATCATGTTGATGATTAAAGTGAAGCAGGGCTGCTGACACCTTCAGCAGTCAGCAGTACCTCCAGCTCTGGCCCTGTGTTATCCGCACGCCGACTAGACGCCATAATGTTGTCTCTTACTGTACCTCTCCACATTACACGCCGCCGCTGCTGTGTTTACAATCGCCAATAACGGCGAGCTCTCCTCCCTTCCTCTCTGTTCCTCGACTCTGTATTACACAACACGGGCTCAGTACTCAGTGCTAATGTTGCAGAACTTGGGACCACCGCTGCAATCTTACTCAGCATGCCAGCCCATCAAAGCCAGAGCGGTGGCCATTTGCAGCCAGCCAGATTGTTAGTAAGGTGGCAATTTGTCATGCTGGCCCTGGGTCTGCAGCCCGCTCTCTGAAACTGATTGCAGCAATAACAAAGGCCCGTCCTCCTCTAATTTATTTTTACTGCATATATTTTATTCAAAGAGGCTGTAATTTATTCATATTTCACGTTACCTTATTACTGTTTGAACATCTGTTATTTTGCTTTATGGACTGGCTCCAGCTCACTGCTCTCTTAATACTTAATGCTTTCATCAGATCCCAAGCTCTTTTTCACGCAGAGTCATGTTAAATGTGCCCAATTTATTGGCCCTGTCTCAGCAAATAGGGATGCGCTCTAATCAATTGCCTGGAGTGTTCTCATTGCAATGCTGCTCTTTTTTTTTCTTTTTTTTTTTATGTTATCGTCATCCCTCCTCTCCATTTCCCAGAGTTACTGCATTTATTTTTCTTCCCGTACGTCTTCATTTCTCTTTTGCTCTTTTTGCTTTTTCCCTTTGTCAAAACATTTTTTTTTTTTTGGTGTTTCTCATTTCCCGACAGTCCCACCTCAGCCTCCAGTTATTATAGGTCTGGAGACAGGGGAGGTCAAAGCAGGGCGAATACTGACGCTGGTTTGTGTTTCTCACGGAGGAAACCCCTTAGCCACTCTCCACTGGAGTAAGGTAAAACTCTGCACTTTCTGCTTGAAAATCTGTGACGGTTAAGCTAAAAAAAAAGCTGTCCTAGTCAGTGGTTGGTTTCAGTATTTCTGAGTTTTGTGTGTGTTGGTGGTGTGTGTGTCAGAATGGAGAAGTTTTGTCAAAGACTTGGGAAGAGGACATCGTGGCTCAGAAGTCCAGCAGTGTCCTCAACCTGAGGATCACCCCTGCCGATAACCAGGTGGACGTGTGCTGTGAGAGCGTCAATCTGGTGTCCCTGTCACCTCTCTCTGCCTGCCGCAGAATTACCGTGCTCTGTGAGTGACAATAATGCTTCCAGTGCACCACGCTGGAGTCCACACACACACATACACACACACACACACACACACACATCCACGGCAGGACTCACAGTAATAGATTGTTAAGGCTGTAGACACCAGGTAGGAGAAGTACTGTATAATAATAGTCTTAGCTCCAGAAACCAGTCCTTTGACAGTTCCAGAATATTTCCTAATGCTGATAGAATTATTGAGAAGAATTGGTTGTTACAGCTTCAGCCCACATGTTTAAATACCTTCAGGTTTGCACCAGTGCATGGTCTTTCACAGCTGCTCCATTAATTTAGCTCAATTGTTTTCAAGTAGTTTGTGAAATTAACTAAATAAAAGATTTTCAAGGATTTTAACAAATGCGTAGAAGGAAGTGCACTACACAGACACAGTCGATACACGATTAGAAAACGTTGTTGTTTCAGTAAAGCATCTCAAGCTTGAAGTAACATTAATCTCTTTCCTGTGATCGTGGGGGGGCTTTAACTTCAGGTCAGACGCCCAGCTAGCATCAGACGAGCCTCGCTGAGTGCAGGGCAGTCAGTCTGCACTGACGAGCTAACACTATTGCAATAACAATTGAAAAGTTTGGAAAGTTTAAACTCTAAGTCAACATCAATATGTGTAGTAATGAAGCAAAGCTATGAATTCCTGAAATGATTAATTCCATCATTTGGATCAGATTATAAAAACCTGTGTTAAATCCGTACATCTTCCTGCTGTTACAGCAATATATACTGTATATAAGCGATCAATTAATCTCTTAAATCTGGATCCATTAGGATGCATCCACAGCCTCCCTGTGACTAGTCGGATTCAGGAATCCTACACTTGTGCGACAGAATCAACCACATGGATAATAGATGTTACTTCTCTTTAGGAATAAAAAATGTTCTTCTTGTTTTTTTTACAGCAACAATAAAGAAAAGTAAACAAATAAGAATTAATATTCAGCAGCCTCGGTGCACTGTGTCTAACAATAGCCTGATTTCCACTACAGAGCCAGACGCTTTAAACGCTCTGGAACTGTTGCACCTTCTCTTTGTAATTATGATCGGGTTTTGAAGACGCACCGTCAATTACGCTCCGTGCTGCGGCAATGTGAAGATAGTGAAATTACTCAAGTGCTTTTCCTTTACTCATCGATCTCCCGTGCACCAGACGTCGGAGCCGTGCCTCCCAGTCATTCATTCAGCGATGTTAAAATGAGCTGCTCACACTCTGAGCTTGAGGCGCTGGTAGAGGCTGCAGGGCACGGAATACTGTGAAAAAGCTTCACCTACTTTCCGGCACCAGCTCAGTTTCAGCCGTCGCAGGGTGTGCAGCTTGTACAAATGCATCCAAGTCTGTGTCTGCTGGGATAGACACAAATATCTGTAGGATTTGCATACATGACCCCTCCTTCCCCGTGTCTGCCAGCTCACTCCCCAGGCTTTCTATCACCCTGAAGGCTCTGTGAAGCTGCATCAGTTTGCCTGTAGCTATTGTAGCGTCTCCCCCTGTGGCTGAAACTAAGCTGACTTTAGAAACCACAGTGAAAGCCTCTTGAGAAAACAAGTTGCCACTCAAAGTGATTTTCCTTCACACCCCTGATTCTGCTCCATGTTTCATATCCAGAAATAGTTCTGTTGCCACTGTGATCAGAAATGGGAGCTGTTAAATGCGCTGTTCAGGGAGGAAATAATTGCAGTGCTTCTTTTTTTTTCTTTTGGTTTAAATTCCATTTCCAGAGAAGTCAATTCACTCTTCAAAAAAAATACTAAAATACCTAATTTGACAATGCACACGGATCCCTATGTAGAAGGTAAAGCACAGAGAAAAGACCACAGTTGTGTTTATTTGAACCAACTTTATTTATTCTGTTAGTCAAAATGGATCAAATCCTATTGTTAAACCTCCATATCAATTGTAGCCTTCCATCTCCAGTGCATCATGGTTACTGGTTCAGCCCAGTGTCATCATGGAGACGTTGTGTTTGTGTGCTCATGTACCAGTTGAACCTGCAGTGGTGACTCTCTCTGGTTCCTTCGTGGCCGTCGAAGGACAGGAGCTGGATATGTGCTGCTTTGCCGCCTCTAGCAACCCCCCTGTGCAAATTCGCTGGTGGCTGGGGAACAAGGAGCTCAACAACACAGTTGTCTCTGTGAAGGAGGTGAGTTTAAATCTCAACATCCAATTATTAGAATTGTTTTCGTTTGAGCAGTTTGATTGTGAGCTCATCGTTGATGGGGTTGGAATCACATGATGCAATTCGATTGTGTGTATAAGTGTATACAGTGTCTATATGTGTATTTATTATTGTTCAAGAAACAATCAAAAATGACATTTTTTTTTCTACTGAAAATACTTACATGTTTGCCTCAATGGTGCCTGAAAGAAAATCCCCGAATGTTTCCTATAGAATTAGCTTCAGTACAGAAGAAAAATAGAATAAATGCTGTGACCCTGTGTGCTCTGCCGCAGGTTTGCAAATACACCAGCTGCTGATTCCAAAAGTGTATTCTGCTGCTCACCTTCTTCCTTTTGTCTGAGTTAATAAGATCAAAGTGAATAAAAGCTGACACAGAAGATGAGCGTTATTAAACAAGCTCTTTATTCATCCGGCAGCAGCATTTTCATTTGATCTTACACAAGGCACTCGGTGTGCTGTGTGTGAGCTTTAATGCATCTGAAACAGTGTGAGGTTAATGAAGACTGACGCTGCTGTTCACTGCGTCTGTTAGTCTTCCTGACTGTGGCTTTTACAGTCATCAACTCAATAATAGCCATAATGGCCAGATGTGCTGCATTAGCATGACCACTGTCAGCAGGTGCACGCCGGAGCAAGGCATTATGTATGCAGCTGCCAGTCAGATGAATATGTTTATTTATCACAGAACACCACGTCAGTTAGCGGGGCTGCTAATGTGTTATCAGCATTCTCCAGAAGACAAAGCAGCGAGACTTGTTTTTCTGAGACTCTCTGTCTCTGGACTGAACCGTCACACAGGTGTGTGTGCTCTCTGTGTGTGTAGGGGGACCATGGTGGGATGACAACCATGTCCAACATAACCCACAAGGTCTCCAGGGAGGAGGACAGTCTCACCCTGACCTGCGAGGCTTTCAACAAGGGCACATTCTTTTCCAAGACCCAGACGGCCACACTCAGCGTCTACTGTGAGTCCGGATGTTTGAGGTTCAACCGATGCATTATATTTTTTAATAGACACAGCCAGCATTAAAATCACTAGGATGAATATTTTTTAGTAGGTGCCTTTTGCGAGTTCTCAAGGATGTTTCTATCACGGTTCAAGAAGGGAGTCAATAATATTTACAGCCTTTCACTAATATAATCCTTCACTCCCAATATTTTCCATTTACATTTCTGTCTGAAGAGTTTCTGAGTAACCCTAACCCTTGAAACTCTTCAGTTTTTACTTGTTTTTTCTTCAGTCTGCACATGCTCAGTGTCGTTGAGCCAGTGTTAACATCGAAAATATATAAATCTGATTTGATCATCCACAGACCCTCCCCAAAGGGTGTGGCTTGAGGCTCCTTCTCCAGACATTCCCATTCATGCAGGGACCAAAGTGCGACTCACCTGCTTCTCCACTGGAGGGAACCCCGTGGGAACTCTAACCTGGTTGAAGGTTGTTTTACACGTGTGTCTGTATGTGTGTGCACTAAACACATATCAATATATATTAGGGAAGTCCGATATTAGCTTTTTACCGATATTCAATGTGCCAATATTGTCCAAACGCTTAATTTCCGATACCGATACCTGCAGCTGTACTAACTTTTTAAAGCGATTCCAACATATCTGACGAAACCCAAGCATTGCCTTATTGGGCTTTTAATATCGGAGGAAAAACCGATAACGATTCTTACCCATATCACATTATTATGCTCATATCAAGCCGATAATATCAGACCTCTCTAATATATATCTGTATACATGGATTTATATATGTATGTATAAATATGTGAGGAAAAAAATACATACACACACACACACACACACATATTTATATATATATATATTTATAGAGAGAGAGAGAGTTTAGTCAGTGCTGTGTGTATTGACGATGGCGTGGAGAGCGCATTGACAGTTGCAGCTGTTGTGGTTTTAGGACGGAAACAAAGTGACCTCAATGCAGAGGCAGACATCTTTTGATCGTGGCGTGGCTCGTGAGCTGGTTCTGGTCCTGACAGCAAGTGATAACAACGCTTCCTATCGCTGTGATGCCACAAATGAAGCGAAGAAGACCATATCTGCCTCCACCGCACTAAAGGTGTTTTGTAAGTGGATTTGTCGCGGTATGACTCCAGGGTCAACCTTTCCAGGGACCAGGTGCCATTAAACACATAGAACAAAGTGGTACTGCACCAAATTTTGGTAATTCTAGGTCAGTGGTTCTCAAACTATGCTCCATTTTGACTAACGCTAAATGAACTCCTTGGCCAACTAAAATGCTAAAGCTAAATTTATGTTTCCTCGCAGCCTTTAAAATATAAATATATAAAAACGCCGGACATCTTAATTTGTCGTAAGACCAAGAATTACAACAGAATTATATTCAGTCCACTACAGTGGAACCAAGACCACTCCCCTCATTACCAGTAGATGTCAGTAGTGGATGTTTAAATGTATAAATAGTCTAATACATATTAGAGGGTGTGTTCAGTGGTCTGTGATTTTGTATGTGACTTATTGTGTTTTTTTGTCTCTTGATTTTCGCAGTCACAGCCATAAGTATGAAAATAACAACCAAACAGGAAGTGCTTCGTCGAGGGGACACATTGAGTCTGGACTGCCATGCAGGAAGCAGTAACCCAAAGTCCAACATCTCCTGGACCGTGGGCTCTCAGAGGTGTGTCGAGACAAACACACATCGTCAGGATGAGTCTGATGATTATCCTTTAAAGTGTGTTTGTTTGCAGGATTGTTTGCTGTGGTTCGATTCCTGTGTTGATTCCATTTCCTGGATGGGTTCTCTGTTAGGTTCCCTGGAGCGGAGCAGCCCCCCACGAACGCTCAGTATGGTGGGGTTTCAGTGCTCAGCTCTTTATCTCTTCATCTGGGTTCACAGCATCACAACCAGAGAGTCATCTGTCAGGCCTACAGCTCTGTGCTGGCTGAGGGAACCAGCACGTTCTACCAGCTCAACGTTCTCTGTAAGAAAACAATGTTTGGGTTCTCCGGTGCTTTGTTTCCATGTTTGAGTTTATGTTTGTTTGGTTCTTTCTTTCTCATTATGCATCTGTCTTTCTGTCTTTTTGTCTGTCTTCATTTCTTTCTTTAGCTTTTTCCGTCTTCATCTGTTTTTTCTCTTTGTTTTCTGTTCTGTTTTTCTTCTTTTTTCGTATTGCTGCGTCATTCTTTTTCACATTGTTTTGTCTTTTGTTTTTCTTCTTTTCTTTCTTTTGTTTTCCTCTCTCTCTGTGTCTTGGTTGGTGGTTTGCATATATTTTAAACGATGCATAATGGTGATCTATAAGGCTGCAGATAGCTGCTGTACTTTAGCACCAAACTGTTGGTGAATCGTGTGTTTTTTTTTTGTTCAGAGGAAACCTTTGTTGTCATTTCCTCGCTCCGGTGCACTCTGCAGTAGTGTGTCCTAATTGTGCATTTGCTTTGCAGCATGGCCGTGTTTGTCTTTGATGCCATTTCACAGGCAGCAGCCAGACACACTTTCAAAGCCCTGTGCTGTGTACGAGCATGAAGGGATGTCACTGTGTGTTTGTGCGGAGCTGCAGTTGGACAACAGTACTGTCACTCGTCATTTTAATGCCTGTCCCTCTCGCTCGTGCGTCGCCTCTCCCCCTCCCCAACCCCTCCGCCCCCATTGTCGTGTGTGAAGTCGGTTAGATGTGGAATTATTGGTGGGATGTCGACTGTCTACTGGTTTGACTCTCATTAGTGTCTCTTTTTTCCCAGCTCAACATATTTGTATGTCTTTGTGCCTGTTTCTGCTGCGTCCTGTCAGACTCTGTGTCCTGTTTTTGTGGTTTTTTGCTCTAAATCCAATTCAATGTCGCTACAGTTGTGTAATTTTTCTGTGCCAGACCCGCCAGAGTTCCGCCATCCTCAGCCAGCACAGGTCCAGGTGGTGGAGGATGACACTGCAACTCTGCCACTGTTGCTCTCTGCTAACCCACAGGAGGTCTCCTGCATCTGGCTGCATTACAAAGAGAAGCTGGTCAAAGGTGATCCCAGGCTATGTGATGGCTCTATAAACCAGCTCCTTGTTGAGCTGAGCCAGCAAGTGAGCACTCAGTTCTGCCATTCAGGGTCTGAATAAAACATGGCAGGTTAGCCAGTGTGGGACCCTGCCAAATGTGATTCTCATTATAGCTCTAATGTATGCAGTCTAAATGAGGCTAGCTGTCTGCCTGAATACTACACAATGGTTCAAACCTGGCGTCTCCTCCAGGCCTGTGTCATCAAGACCCCACAGTGTACACACTCTTTTACATTGTACGCCCCCATTATGAAAGGGCAGCATATTGACCGTAGAACACACACATTTTTATTTTCAGTGTTGTGGAAATGGAGGAGACTCTGACGTAGCCTATTGTCAGGGATGGGCGGGGGTCAGCCGAGCCAATCAATAATGCAGGATTAGATGTCACTTAGAGACCAGTGACCAGAGGACATGTGCTTGATGAGCATGTAATGAATACTTAATTTACAATTGCTTTGGGTGTGTATGTGTTTCTGTCTGTGCGTGTGTGTGTGTGAGAAGAGGGCAATCTGCGCTACCACGGGTCAGACAACTCACTGGAGATCAAGAATGTGACCAGAAAAGATGCCGGCGTTTACACTGTTGAGTGCACAAACGATGAGGGTGTCAACAGAACCTCCATCATCCTGGATGTTCAGTGTAAGACCATCTTCACACAGTACAAATGTCTGGGATATAGGAAGTGGCATGTACATAGCAGGGGCATGACCCCGTTTCTGGAAATGTTGGTCCAGAAAAGTAAGAGAAAAAAAAAACATTTGCAGTTGAACCTCGATTTGGCAGACAGAAGGGAAAACGGGACTTTATATATATGTACATTTATATGTATATATACATACATATATACATACATACAGTATATGTATGTGTAAGTCAGTGTTTCCTAAAAATGTACTTTTCTGTGCGACCTTTCCGACCTTGCTTTTTCCAATTTATTTGAATTTGTTGTCAAGTTAGGTCAAGAAAATAAATATATTTTCTATATTTATCTGTTAAATGAAGGTTGATTTTAATTGTTGGAATTAGAAATGCATTTATATTCTAAAAGGACAGAGAATACAACGATATTTCTATTTTTCTAGCCATTATTTCTACCTGGCCGATGTCCGTTTATAAATAACAATGCTACAATTTTAATGCGGCACGTAACACGTCAAGGCTGTGAAGGTCGTCAGTCAGCTACGTCCTTCATCTCTGTTCAGAAGCTGTTTTTCCTTGATGTGAGGAATAAGCAGAGCATTTTATTATTGTAGTAATTGGCATATATGTGCATTGGGTTTGAATGTGTAGCCTGCCAACACAGGATTTTGAACAGATCTAAAGCTGTGCATCAAAACACACTGTCAGACCCAGACAACAACAACACTGACTTCCAGCTTCTACCCAGTAACTGTGTCGCACTCATTAGCCCTCCATGCAAGGCCATGTGCCTCCTCAGTTGCCCCGGGCCCAGCCTGGAGTAGTAGGCCATCTGCCCCGATTCTGATGATTTAATAATGGAAGTGTTGAAAATGTAGGTCTGCCTGTGTCATCAAAGCCCACGGTACATGCCTAATGGATGTGCCACTCTGACATGACTGGCCTTGACAGTTGTAGATATTCATTATGTATTATGGAGGATTGTAGTAGACGTTGTGGGTGACGCTGTAGCCCACTTAATAATGTCGTTTTCGGTTAGTGGGCTGACAAAGGCTCGTCCCGCCAACCTAAGGGTCAGTGCTGTTTTGCTGCCTCCTACAGCTGTTCTTCCAACATGAACATAGGTTTAAACAATGTGACGCTAATGGCTGTAGCGACATAAGTGACTGGCACCCAGGAGAAGAATTAAAGCCTGTGAGGTAGAGGTGAACGAAGGCCACAGCAGAAGTCATGCAGTCAGAACGCAGGGATAATGATGGATATATTGTTCTTCTTCTAAAGTATGGATGAATCTTCTATCTGTGATGGTTCTCCTTCCATACTGTTTAGGGAAGTTAATGGTCTTGTTCCGAGTTCAAATCATCAGTGAACATGTAGGAGTCGTCTCAGCTGTCTGTTCATCGTGTCGCATTCTGAAAGTTAGCATATGAAACGACCAGGGTTGTCCCCAGATACTACATTTTACAAACTGAAGTGAGTACTTTCATACGTATTTTCATTTTTGTACTTGCTGTTACTAAGTAGGTACTAAGTATGTTACTTATACTTAATCATGTTGGATCTTAAGGTAGTGTTGTATCCAGAGCATGTTTTTATTTGATGGCAACAGAAAGTGAGCAGAGCTTTAACACCAATGGGTCATTTAACAGGGTTTCCACATTAAACCCATTAGCGCTAATTCCTTCTTTCCACCAACAAAGAAACCTGAGGTGTTCGTAAATAAGTCTCATTTAAAAAAAAAAATGACTCAGTGAATCCAGCGCTACAGCGCCTCCTCTGATGTTATATTTAATTGTAACAGAACAAATGTTACAGTAGAATAATGAGACACTGAACGAAATAGGAGGACGAAAGAAAAACAAAAAAACATTTGCTGACCTGTGACCTGAGTCATTATGGAGTATCGGGTCGCTGGATTGGACAGGATGCTAATGCTCTCACCGCTGCATTCGTGGTTTATATCATCAGTGAACATGTAGGAGTAATTAGAGCTGCTCAGCAGTCTTTTTGTGATGTAATATTTTTACTGCATTTAAATTTGATTTTCCTCTTCATGTCTTAGATGCTCCGAGTGTGAAGGCAGAGAAGGACCCCGTGTTTGTGAACATAGGTGGAACTGCAGACCTCATATGTGTGGCTGATGCCAATCCCATTATTCCTGACATGTTCTCCTGGAATTGGCTGGTGAGAAATAAACACAATCACACAAATAATTTCTCTTTTATTTGTCTTTTTTTTTTTACTGTTATTTCATTTCTTTTCAGCATTTATCTCAGGTGCTGTTTCAATGCATAGACTCACTATATTTCATTCGGTCTAACTACCCATCCGCCCCACCTCTCCCTGCTTCACACTCACTCCAAATCCAGAAAAATAGCTTTGATTACCGCTGTGTGACCAAAGGGCACATTCGTCAATGTGATGTGGTCTCTATATCTACTGATACCTTCTCTGGTCTAACCTACCCTCTGGCAGTACTGTGTCTCTTGCTTTCAACCTGCACAGGCCCTCCATCTCTCCTTCCCTGTGGCTCTTTCCAGCCCTGGCATTATCCTTCTCTGTCACCAGACCTCATCCCTCCGTGCCCTTACTATCCTCATCCAAAGCCCTATTGGTTTCTGGCTCAGCTCTCCCTCATTGTCTACCTGCCCTGCTCTCAAACGGCGCTCAAACTCAGGCTCTCGCCTGCGAAGATGGAAGTGTGTTTGGAGGAATTGCGGCACTTTTTCTCTTATTCCCGCTCAATCTCTTCTCTGTAGGGAGAAGAAGAGGTGGATATGGGAGAGACGACACAGGATGATGAATCAGGCCTTCTGACCATCCATGATGTCACCCGGGCTCACGCTGGTGTGTACCAGTGCACGGCCAATAATGGTCTAGCACCCCCTGCCAGCGTGGATGTGCATCTGGTGGTGCAGTGTGAGTGTATTCATCCAGTGTCGGAGCAGAACCTGAAGGTTTTTATTATTCTTTCATCCATACGCCTGTACATGACGTGTACGTGAATAGTTGTTGTGTTGAACAGTCAAACCACAGCTCCACAAAGGGCCGCAGTGGAGGAAGGTCGCCAGCAGAGGGGACGGCACCACCACGGCTGAGGTGGTCTGTCAGGCAGAGGGTATTCCTCGCGTCGACTTCACTTGGGAGAAAAACGGCGTTCGCATGGACTTTGCAAACCCGAGGTCTGAGAGTGAAGTATTCTGGGAGATAATATTTCCTTGCACTCATGTTTGCTCACAGGTGCTGCAGTGAGCTGGTAATTCTCTCGCAAACACATTAGGTTCTGACATCATGTTATATATTATTTGGTACTTGCTGCTGTGAGTACTTTACACTTCACTATGCAAATACCTGTTTAATGCTTTTTTTTTTGATGAAGTTGGTTGAACTAGTGCAATCAGCAGGACATCACAGTTCAATCTGTGTGTGTGTTTGTGTGTGTGTGTACCCCCACTTCAGGTACGAGGAGCAAACAGTGAGGGAGGGGTCCTTCTACACCAGCACCGTTCGTGTCGTGAACGTTAGCGCAGCCCGTGACTACGCCGTCTTCAGCTGCACCGCGCGCAACGCCCTGGGGGACGATAAACTAGACGTCCAGCTCGTCAGCACAAGTATTTAAACATGTACATGCTGCTGTGTTTTACTGCACGTACTGTACGTACGTGAACATGTGGCCGCCTACGGAGACCCACAGGGACTCTAATGTAAATACGCGTTAGCCCTTTGTCACCATGTGGATAATAATTAGGGCCAAATCAGAGAGATAACACTTGTTAGGTTATTAGGTGAAAATGGAGAAATATATGGGGTTTAGTCCATAGACCGTGTATAAAAAACGGAATCAGCATTTTGTTGCAAAAACCTAGTCACAGAAGGAGGCTGAGTTTGATTTAACAAATTACATCAGCACGTTGTCATATTAGACCCCACTTCATTCTTCTGTTTAAATATTTTTCCTGCTAAACCAATAGAGTTTTTGACCAAGGTTAGCTGTCTGAGAAAGGCCACAGTCTGTTTGTCTGCATTTTTTATGCCTGCTACTGCCTGAAGGAAACATAACAACATACCATCTCATCAAAATGTGGGGCGTGCCACCCAGCAAGGCTAATTACTTATAATTTAATTTTTATTTTGCTCCTTTGGGAATTTGCACTTGTGATTGTGTTTCCTGTGTGTTATTTTGTAGTGTTTACAGTGTTTTTAAATCCACAGAAAACATTATATGAGAACGTATCAATATGGGAGAGGGGTCAATGGTAGTTTTATCCCCACAAGTGGGGCACAGGTGAAGTATTTTGGGAATTATTGCATTAATTAATCTTACACTTCTAAAAGTTTGTTAAGTCTACAAATTCTATTTTATTTTCAAATATTGAATGATTGTTTTTAATTATTTTATCTTATTTTCCTATTCAGGCCAGTGCAGCATTTTTAACTTCTAATTTCTAAATCACTTCCTGTCCAGGGTTGAACGAGGGAAGTGTGGAAATATGTGCAGAATTCTGTGAACTAGAGAGAGTTGTTGCTCCTAAGTGTCAGCCATTTATGAGACTTATTCCATTCCACTATCTCCACCTTATCACAGAGCCTATAGCAATATGTCATGTCTCCCTCAGATAACGCAGCAGTGATAAGCTTTTCACTCCCAGCTTTTCAGACTTCACATCCCTGGAGCCAGCAGTCAGCGCCTGCACCACCAACTTTATCAACATAATTATGCTCAAAGCAAAGGCCCGCATCCAACTTTAGGCACATTTAATGTTTACTATAAAAACTATAAAATGCAGTCCCGCACTGGCCGTGTTTTCCCTTGTCTTGTTTTCAGCACTGTGAATATTCATATTAAATCTGGCGCAGTGATAATAAATTTTATATGCTCCCTTATCATTTTCACACCCAAGAAAATGCTCGGAGCTTCTTTTTTTCTAAGTGTTTTTTTTTAATCCAAATAAGATTGACCCTTTAGCCCTGCAGTTATAAAGGGAGCTGATAGTGGAAATTATTCCCTCCACAAAGTGAGCTGGATTCACTGTGTCATATTGATGCTTGGCTATCTCTCCTCCACCTCTCCTGGTCCATCAGTCTGTCTCCACCCAAAACCTATTCTGGAATATCTCACCTTTAATACCTTGTGTGAAATAATTAATAGAAATGATTAATAATCCTTGGTCATTGATTCATTCATTGGTCAAACATGGACTCACTGGTGACTTTGTTTTTAGAGGGATTAGTTGTTAAGGTTCCGTTAATTCAGTGCTTCTCCAATAACACAGTTGGTAGCACATCAACCCGTGGGCCAAACGGACATGCACTTTTATTAACTTTTTGCAGATATTGTCCAAACACTTAATTTTTGATTCAGATATCAACCGATACCGATATATACCAGGTAATATTTATTTATTTATCTGTACAACCAACTGTATGAGTTGCTGGCACCAGCATTCTGCACACAATCCCCTGATTGTTCAAATAGATTAATTAAGTGAGCTGCAATGCTGCCATCTAGTGACTTTCACTTTCATATTCAGCCATTTATCCCCAAAACTATTTTTAGGGCACACATCATTTGACAAAACACAGGCATTGCGTTATCAGGTTTTCATTATCGGAGGAAAAAACAATGACGATTCTTACAGATATTACATAATCAGATACGATTCTTACAGATATTACATAATTAGATCGGCTGATATTATGGACATCCCTAATTATAAAATATGACGTAACTTGGTGTCATTTCAGTGGAGCTAGAAAATGACCAAAAAAAGTTTAAGAACCCCTGGGTTAATTGTTCAGGTGCAGTAGCAGTGTTCAGCTGCCAAGGCGCCCTCTTTTGGCCATAGATGATATGTAGTTTATTTTTGAAATAGAAGTTGCATTTGAATAGAAGTTGCATAACCAGCTAGACAACTAGAAAAAGGACGACTGACAGTCAGGAAAACATTTATATCAGTCGTATGGTGTAACATGAAGAAATGTGTGACATGGAGAAGCTGAAGCTCATTCTTTCTCCTCATCAGAGAAATTCTCTCTGTGCCGTTCACTTACAGCCTTCTACAGTAGATAATTTAAAGACATCCTTCCTGGTTGTGCTCTTCCTCTTCCTGCTCTTATCGAGGCTTTGCCGACAGAGGCAGCGAGGCCTTCAAGGTTCAGTAACGTTAGGAATTTCTGACCCATAGCTGCATCTGCTGTTTGACTTGGCAAAGTGAGGGTTGATGTGCTACCAACTGTGTTATTGGACTGGAGGCAGAAGGCGGAACAACAGACCAAAACACAATCACCAAACATAAACAGAGTTTGTTGGCTATAAATTATCACTGAGATTGTGCACTGCTGTTATCAATGAGGCCGGTGTTGCTGCGTTACCTGTCTGTTTACTCTCGGAGGGCACACTGTAGCTCTTTTTAATGTTTAATTCAATGTATTAATCTGCATGGCACGGTTTTATTTTAACTGCTCGGAGGTCGTCGTCACATCCACCTGCAAATAATGGTCGTTACGGTTACAGCTGGTAGATCTGACGTTGTTCTCTGATGAGAAAAGTTGTTAACTCAGAGTCCTGCACATAAATAGCTCGGACTGTAGCGTCAACCCGTGTGCTGGAGAAAATAAAGCAGTAAGTAGGAAATAATTCAGACCTCATTACATCCTCATGATCCAAAAAAAAAATACATGGGAAAAAATACATGTCCAATATTTGTTTCTTCTCTTTTCTTCCTACTATAAAGAGGGGAAGCAGTCCACATTAACAGCGTCATCTGCAGTGTTATAGCTGTAATCAGAGACACCAGACGAATCATCCAGAAGTTAACGTTGTTTGTCTCTGACTTTTTGTTTTATATTTCTCTGTCTTGGCCATAAGGTCGCCCTGATCCTCCGTCCTCCTTTCGTCGAGTCAGCATTAGCCATGACTCGATTACTCTGGAGTGGATCCCTGGTTTTGATGGAGGTCGGAGACAAAGATTTCGTATAAGGTGACGTATAAAGAAAATAACCAGTATCAGCTTCAGTATCATTTGTACATTTATCTTGTTTTATTAGTGCTAAATATCAAGGAGGTCTGGAGAAATATTTGTGTTTGAAGACCAGCAGCAGGAACCACAGCATTACATCCACTCTTTCTGTTCTGTTCTGTTTTTTTTTTTTGCATTCAGATGCACACTCTCTCTGCCTGCTGTTTGCGTATATTTTGTGATATTTAATGTTGTCTGTGAGCATCAGGGCCGTACTGTTGATATGAAACTATAATATGAAACGTCTGGACTTGGGATGTCTGCCAGCTTGATATCTAAAGTACTGTTGTAGTAATGAAAACTATAAATAGTACAACCATGTACTTTTCATTCCGGGATCCACTCGCTTTGTTGGACCCCTCCCTAATATAATATTGCAAAGATGGAATTGCTCTGCACTTAAAAAACAAATGTAAAGATTAGTTTATATACTGTTCTGTAGATACTGTATTATTTTATTTGATATTTGTTACACAGGGCAACAATCCAAACCAAGAAAATGGGTGTAGTTCATAACGACCTGTCATAAAGTTCTACTACTTCTTACTCCTCTTAGTTTCTTTCCTCTTCTCCTTCCACTCTGTTTTTCATCCTCTCCCTCTACTTCTTCTTCACCTGGTTGTTTTTCCTCTTTTTTCTTTTTTTTTTTCGCTCTTCATCCTCTTCTTCTACCCTGTTCACTCTCTGCTCTTCTGTTACACCAATCATATCTGTGTCCTCCTCAACTACATCCATAAATCTCCTGCCAGAGTCCATCTCCACTCTCCAGTAAATCCTCTCTCTCTCTCTCTCCTCAACCCACGTCCAAACCATCTAAACATCTCTTTATAATATATATATATATAATAATATATCTTTATAACTTTATCTCCACTCTGCTCCTCATAGCTGTCCCTCTGATCTGCTCATGTCTAATAATTACCCTTCATACAAGTGTAAATATTCTCAGTTCTGGCCAATTTCAATCTGTTTTTCTCCATTGATTTACCTAAAGAATAACCCGTTGTCTGACAGATACCGTTGGGATCAGTCTCTCAGTTTCCAGTACGTGGATGTCTTCCCTCCCGGTGCCACAATCTTCACTGTGACAGGACTGAAGCCCGTGACCACCTACAACTTCTCCGTCAACGCCCTCAATGTGATGGGGGAGAGCGAGTATGCTGACAACAATGCAGTACTGACCATCTCCACCAAGGGTCAGTTTTGAGTCACCTCTTCTTGACGCTGAGAAAAACGGTCTTCTTGATGCTGAGAAAATCATGGTTGGTTTTCTGACGTCAGAAAACCAACCATGATTAAAAGTGTTGGCGACTGTTAGACTTTTCATATCAGTGTTTGTTCTTCACAGAGAGGCCAGAGGAAACCCCAGGAGGCGAGGACCCGGTCCTAACCAGTGAGTCCTTAATCACAAATCCAAAAAAAGCTCTTAAGGCCAGTAAGAAATTGCTGTTTGCACAGCACAGCAGCGGGTGCTTCATTTAGCTAAATTATGCTAATGTATGCACCTCCGAGGCTTTTTGTGTTTGCTCTATCAGGGTAACCGTTGTCATGGTGCCCACCTTTTTTTTTTTTTACATTTTACACACACTGGGATTTAATCAATAAAGGCAATTGAAGGTGGTTTTGTGTTCGTCCGCCTCAGGTTTCATGTTCCAGAATGTTCTTATCGCTTCTATTGTTCTGCTCTGCATTGTTGTGTCCGGTGTTGTGTTTTAATCCAGGTGCGATAGGAGTTCCTTTTTATTTGATAGTAGTTTTGACGGCGGTGTTTGGCGCCCTGCTGCTGTCCAATTCTCTGGGCTGCTACTTTGGACGCAGGTGGAAAAAGAATAAAGTCCGGAAAGGTAACTGATTTTTTTTTTTTTTTTTGAACCACTGCTTTTCCGGCACCACCCGGTAGTTTTCAGATTCTCCGAGAAAATGTAAAAGCAATCACTCTGAGCCGTGATGCAAGTGTCGGCTCAGCCTCTCACTCTCTCATTTCTCCAGGTTCTTATTTCCATCCATTTATCCCGTCTCCTCTCTTCCCGCTCATTCCCTCAGCTCCTCCCCTCCCACCGCATTCATCTTTCAGCGCTGTCACTTCTCTGCTCTGTCCACATCCTTTGTCTGGTAATTAATTCTATCTCTCTTTTCCCTTCACTTGTTCTTTAGCCTAACTTTCAGCTTTGCTCCCTAAATGTGTTATTTTTCATTCTTTATGTCCCTCCGCCCCGTGCTACACACACACACACACACACACACACACACACCTATACCCTCACTCTCTGTCCTTTTTATTGCTCTGATCTATTTCAGTGCTTATGAGTGGATGCTCCTTCCTTCAAAAAGTAATTTCCTAACACCAGCCCTCCTTCCTGCAGTTTCTGTTCCTCCTGCAGGGGATGGAGAGAGTGTGGTGGGTGGAGGGAAGAACAAAGAGGAGGCGTAAGTTGTGGCCCAATAGTAAAAACAATAAACACACACACTTATATACACACACACACATACACACCAGGCAGGAGCTACTGACGCACACAGCCGTGTGGTGAGATTCCATTCATGCTGGTGACATCAAGCAGTTATCAAAGTGGTTTGAAAAAATAAAAACAATTACCAAAGCTTATTGTAGTGTGTATTCTGAATATAATGTGTAAAATGTCGACTTAATAAGTAATTAATGGTTAACTGTGTTAATGTCTTTGTGAATTTAATGATATAAATCGATATGTAATCATAAATGAATAGGTTGTAACACATGGGCAGAATGATGCAATATCTATGAATAATCTCACAAGGCTGAAATTTTAAACAGACTACAATAAAATAATAAATAAAAAAAAGACTTTGAGCAAAATGGGATTTTGGATTTGAACAAATGTAAGTTCAAAACAAACAAAAAAGAGATGTGAAACATACAATACATCTAACTGCTGTTACTTTGTCTTCCTGTTCAGCCCTGATGTCTAGGCATCAATAGTGATTCATCAGTAATGATTAATTACACACAGTGTACTCAAAAGTGATTAATTAATCACAATTTATAGTGATTAATTGCGATTAGTCCACAGCTACTCTATGACAGTCCTAATTATATATAAATAAATAGCCAGAATCTGAGTCTCTCTCTCCTCTCCCTGCAGGTCCAGTCTGTCCACTGTGGACACCACCAACACCTACAAGAGCAGAGAGATGGTCAACGCTGCAGCCCACCGCACCCTCCTCATCGAGTCTGGATCAGAGGCAGACAGCAACGTATACGAGAGCTACGCCGCGGTAAAAGTGGGAGAGGGAAGAGTGTGAAATGGAGGAGGAGGAGGAGTGAAATGAATTTTAAAAATGTATAGAAAATATTGAGTGAAGGGGAAGGAAGTGGGTACATGTCAGAGGAGGAAGTGGAATTTGACCACAACAAGTGAAATTGAAAGATAAACCAGGCACCCTTTAGCTGTTGAAACATGGATCAATACTTCACCATTAGTGTTCAAAATACACATTGATCGACGAGTAATATTTATTTTGTAAAAGGCCAACAATTGTTTTTAACCTTAAAAAAATCCAATAGCTTAGTAGAAGACACCAGAGTTGTCTTTGCTGTTGTCCAGGGACGCAACACATCCTGAAGTGAAGCAGAAAAAAAACCAAGCTTCATTTCTGCCTTAATTAAAAGTATTGCTGTGAATGAGGATAATTACCAACAACGCTGACTTGTCGTGTTATAAACGTATGCGTTGTCTGTTTTGACTTCAGCTGAGGCGGACGACGGTTGATCAACAATATAAATATTGTTCTCTGCACATAATTGTGTCTCATCTTTGCAGGAAGTTTATTTCCTACTTTTCTTTTTTAGTTCCAATTAAATCTGTTCACAGCCACAGTCTGTTCAAGCAGGGAGGAAGAAATATATCCCACATGTCTCCCATATGAATATACAAAGCAAAGCAAATAAGACGACATCTATCTGCGGGGTTGTATAAGTCTAGCATTAAGAAAACAAAAAAACAATTTGATTCAACAGATCCTTCCCTAATTAAATGCAAACATAGCTAAGCTGCAGTAAAACACCTGAAGTCGCTGTCGTCGCTTTCCTCAAGTTGTCTGAGAACAAAGCTGATCACATGATCTCTCTGCTCTTTCACTGATCACAGGAAAGTTCCCATTATTATTACCCCTCCGATGGCTACGCGGCGACGCTTGGCACGCACCCTGAGGAAATACGCAGGCACGGTGAGACACGAATAATACCTCGGAGTAATCGAGGCGACAGTGAACACCTCACGTCAGCCTTTAGCCAATCAGGAAATAGACCTTAATCGGATTCGGAAGTCAAGCAGCTTGAATTAATTAATCATATTTACAGTTTGTGTGTGTGTTTCTGTGTACTTTTCAAGATGTCCACCGACCCCCTGTGGGATCACACTTGTATGAAGACGTAAGACAGGGAGGTTTGTACCAGGATATCCTGGCTTCCTCTCCTTCTTCCCCTGTTCCCTTGTTTGACCACACAATGCCTCGGAACCAGTGGAGACCACCAACCTACAGTCAGGTCTGTAAACAAAAGGCCAGCCTATAATAAGAGCTCCTGTTTGTTGCATTTAAATGATCTGTCAATGTCAAAGCATTGTGTAATTCTGTGTGTGTGTGTGTGCGTGTGTGTGTGTTAGCAGGGTCCTGAAAGAGCGAGGGCTCTGCCAGATTCTGAACTTCCCTTTGAACTACGAGGAGAGTTGGTGTGAGACCGTGGTGTCGGAGCTGCCATAACTCACTGCTTGGTCAATAGGTGGTGTGCAGTGTGCATAGAACATGACAAATACAATGTTATTTATATCTACTCCACCACGGGATCTCAAAGTACAGTCGTCCCCCGCTGTATCGTGGTTCGACTGTCGTGCCCTCAGTGCATCGCATCGGTTTTTAATATTTTAAATGTTTTCTTGTATTGCTTTTTTTTTTTTGCTCCATCGCAGGTTTTTGCAGTATATGAAATTTTTTACATTTTCAATATTCTCATTATTTTTGTGATAAAATAAGGTTGCTCTAACCTAAGAAGAAAAAAACAGTTAAAAAATTTTGTAACATACATACAGGGTATTGTGAACCTGTACGTACGGGTAAACGAGATCTGTGAAAATTTCGTTACGTTTTTTGCCATATTTCACACCCTACAATGCCTCCTGAAGGGTTTGTAATTATATATATATATATACGTAAATAATATAATAACTACAGCGTCTCTACTTTGCAGTTTATTGCCTGTCACAGGTAGAGTTTCTATTGCTGTGTTTATTTTGGAATGATGTATAAAAACCGCATTGTTTTCTATATTGTGAACATCAAACACTGTATCTCTGTTCTCATGGGTCTGACTTGACCATTGGTAAACTCAAACCAGCTAAAAATAAAATCAAGTAAAAATAATGCAAGGGGAAAAAAAGTAGATGAAAAAAAAACCAGTATTTCAAAGCCTGTATCACGTCATGTAATTTGTTTTTCCTTCTCACTCCACGTCTTCCTCCCAGGACCACGTGTTGTTGTTTCACCTTTATCCTCTCCATTGAAGCCCGGTGCTGTTTACTAATCACTGACCACCTCCCTGCTTTGTCCCCCAGTTGTATACGGTGCCGTTAGGGGGCCGGAGAATGGACGGACACCAAACATTGTCCATTGTTGTTGTCACACCAGCGTCCAGCCACTGTAGCCGGTCCGTTCCCAAGTAGGTTCCTCACAGTGGCTTCATAGAAATCCCTGCAACAGGATTCCACTAAGAACATAATGTTGTCTTCAGAAGGTAAAACCTTATCACATGCCACATGTCCAATCCTGTTTCCTCACCACAGAGAAATGGTCTGTGACTCCAGAGCTGCTACACAACAAAGCTCTTTAGTTTTTTTACTCAAACTCTTCGCCCAAAGAGTTTGAAGAAACAGAAGAAGCTTTTTACATACCTTAAACACATACACATACATACTGTATACACCTCACATATACACAAGTTCTGCAATCCTCCAATCACAGGCCTGATCCTTTAACTGCTGGGTCACAGGTCACACTTTCTCACGATGAAACGAAAAGTCGGTATTTTAAAAATGCACGCTCTGAGTTGCCGTGGCTGGAATGATTCCATCTACAGTACAGTGGTTTTGGTGTCTGTTCTGTTGAGATCACAGAGTTGAGAGGAAGACCAGGCTACAGACATACAAGTGTTAAATTGTTATTTTTTGTTATTAAGTGTGGAAGTGATAAAAGTTTACCAGATTGCAAGTTTATTTAGTGATGACAGAACTGAACCATGATTATCCTGCGGCTCACCACCAACAACTGTAAAAACAAACTGACGCAGACTCAGAAAATTCAATTTTGTTTAGAGGCAGCAGGATTTATTTTAACCAAAAAAATGTCTTGACAATAATACGGTTGTTTTTCTGACAAGATATGACAAAAAATATATACTTTTCTAACTAAGGATTTATTCTTCAGTGGACTTTATTTCCACCTGCAATAGTGATGAGTGTCTTTTTGGAAAAAAAGAACTTTAACTGCAGGGAATATTACAACCCCACTTTGATTCACGGTGCAAAATGAAAAAAAAAATCTTTAACAGAACGACTCTATTGTTGAGGCAGAAAATAATAGTGAGTTTTACAAGTGGTGGAGATTTTTCACAGCGGTTTTCTACTGATCAACTACATCTTAAATACTGCTGCTGCTGCTGCTGCTGCTGCTGCTGCTGCTGCTGCTGCTGCTGCTGCTGGCGGCTCTGTCTTCTTAATAGAGGAGGGGATTTTAGTTTGTCAAAAAAACCCTTTGGTTGACCGTTTATTTCTACAACTTCCTCAGTGCGGCTCAACTTCCTCTTCTTCTTTGTGTTCACTTCTTGCTCCAGAGATGGTACAAACTGAGCCCTTCTTCATGTCATTACAGTTCTGACAGCTTCTATTTAACCCTGATATTTTTGCTCAGTTTTGTTATTGTTGTTGTTCACACATTTGTCTAACCTACAAAAATTCCCTCTCCTCATCGGGGGCCCGACCGCCTGCAGATAAATCTCAATGTGACGCAAGACTGCGTTCTCTCAATTAGGTTCACTATTCTCCATCATGAGCTGTCAAGGTATGTTTGTCTCATTACTGAGCAATTGTTTAAGGTCCTGTCGAGCTGACAGTCGCGTTCATACCACCGAGTGTTCGTGATGCATCATCGTCTCCGCTCAGGCAGCGGCAGTAATCTGCTCGACTCAGGCTTGATCACTCAATGCTGCCAGACAACTTCTATTTTTTCTCACATGCATCATGAATATTTTTTTTTCTATAATGTGTTCATCACAAGCTCAAGGAAGCTGAGACGAGCCGGCTGCCACCATGTCAATAAAAAAAGGTTGTTTTTCCTGTTTTATTATGAGTTGTGATCATTTAAAAAAAGTGATATTTTTATTTTACTCTCTCCCACTGGTGGGGAGCTACAGTATGTCAGTCGTTTTTAGTCGTTGCTCTTGTTGCTCTCTTTATTCAAACTTTTGTAGAATTTTTACATGTTTTTTTTTCCCTCTCAGGATTCATGTTTCTGGCTTTTCTCTGCTGCTGTGAGCAATCAGACCGACGCGTGCCCTTCAGTCGGTGGCAATAAATACAACACAGTTGATGAAAAACAACAAGAATGCAACAGATGTGAAAAGATGTGAGGAATTCATCTTTTTCTTTTTTAATGAATAGTACTTTAATCCATCACAGACAATTGCACGTATACGTACAAATACATATTTTATAAATACACATTTTTGCACCAATGTGTAATTAACTGAATATTTCCACCTCCCTGGTTTAGATCAACTGTACTTCAAGGCTGAGCTGTAAATATTTAGTCCTCTCCTCCTCTCTTCATCTCCTCATCTTCATCAGTCTCCTTCACTTCTTCTTTACTTCCTTCCTCTTCTTCTTTTCCTCCCCATTTCTATTCTTTCTTTTCTCCCTCCTGTTAGTCCAGTGTTAGTCGGTGCTGCTGAAAAAAACAGAAATTTTCATTTGAATTCAAGGGTATTTGAGCCTCTGTATCAGAGAGTACTCCATGTCAATGGGTTTGAAGAAAGTTAGTGAAGAAACATTCTTCATCAAAAAGGCTGTGATTCAAACACCCGTTCTCTTGTAGTGTCGCTTTGAGTGACGTTTTGAACAAATCAACAATGTGTCATTGTGTAATTGCAGTTTCTTTTTTTTTTTTCTTTCAGAAGTTCAGGCAGCTCCTCGTGCAAAGATGGCAGATGAACAGATTGTGTAAACATGGAAATCGACAGACAACGAGACTGGTTGACATACAGACAAAACACACAGGCGAGGAGCCGGTAGAGACGGCATACTGTAAAAACACCGAAATAAGGAGAGCAGACGAGCCGTCGTCCCGAGAGACAGCTCTGCTTCATACTGAGGGCCGGGGCAGAGAGGGAGAGTGAAGGAGTGCAAAGAAAGAGGAGGAGGAGGCCATGGTATGAGAAGGAGTGGGTGAGTAAAAGAGTGAAACGGTTGAAACGACTGGATGAGGAAGTAGTGATGAGTGCATGGGTGCGGTTAGTGAGCCGTTACTCCATCAGCCCTTCACAAGTCACAGTGTGATTGATGATGGTGATGATGAGACTGTGGGTCCAGCATCTGTGGAGCTCAGCACCTGGAAGGATGGATAGTAAGGTAGGCACAAGGGCCGGGGGGGGGGAGGGTGGAGGGGGTGACGGGGATGGGAGACTGAGTATCAGAGCACCCAGGGTTGTTTTGGTGCAGCAGACTAAAAGGAGATTGATGGAGGCTGACAGACAAATGGATGAACACACAGACGGACAGAGTGAGTGAGTGAGGGGACTTGATGTGACAAACAGGCGGGAGGGTCGGTTTCGGAGGGGATGGGGGACGGGGAGGCCGAGACGAGACGCCTTCACAGCCCTGGGGGAAACAGGCCTCGTCTTGACATATGCTCTGGAGTTAAATGTAGATTGGCAACAGCCAGCTAATCTGAGCTGTCACAGCTCGTGACGGCCACAGACACTCACCTGTCACGCTGTCCCAGGCCTGGGGACGAGCTGCCACCAGGATAGGTCAAAGATCGATTCATTTCCTGCTGGGCTGGATTTAAACAAGCCGCTGGAACAGACCTCCATCTGTTACCCCACCTGCCTTCACTGGGATCATTCAGTGCTGAGATGTTTTTGTTTTTGTTACTTGTTTTTGTGTGTGTGTGTGTGTGTGTATATGTGTGTGTTGTTTTTCAAGAGAGGGTCAGTGTGTTGTGAGGGGGAGGCAGAAGTGTGTTTTTCCACTGATTCAGATGATGCCACTCATGGATGCCACCTTTCCATTATGTTAAAAATATTTGTTTTGATGAATCCTTTAGTGCTACTGCTAATTGGTGACAGCAGCAAAGTTAAAACACAAAAACAAACAAAAAAAAAAGAACAGAATGAAGCTTGATCAATAGTGCCACATTCAGAAGACACACGTGTGGGTGGACGGCCAGGGTGCACATAAACACACTCTCTCTCCCACTCTCTCTCTCTCTCTCTCTCTCTCTAGCTAGCTCACCATGTTCGATCAATCATTTTTGACAAATGAAAACCAAAAAACTCTAGTTTTGATATGTGGCGTAAAGTTAGACGTTCGGAGTGAAGCGTGTGTGGGTGCCTCGGTGCTGGATGAGGAAGCAGAAGTGGCCACATGGCACTAACCTCAGCCACTGCATCTTCCTGTCTGGTGGATTTGCAGAGAACAGAATGTTCCTGAGTGAACACTGTCTTCCTCCAGTCGTTCAGAGGATCCTTAAATTTATCACTCACTGTACGACAGTTACTCACACCTCGGAAAAACACTTTTGGCAACGTTACAGCAGTGGAAAAGATGATTAACACGTTTTTGTTTTGTTTCTTTGTTGTTGTTTTTTCTCCCTGATTTTTAGCTAGCATGAAATTTAAAACTCAAAATGTGATGTCAAAAATAAGGACTGAGGAGGAAGATGTTGAACAATTTTCTACCAAAATTATTAATGTGTGTGTGTATATGTATGTTTATATGTGTGTTGTATGTATGCACAGTATATATGTATATATATTTATATGTGTATATTTGTGTTTGCATGTGTATATGTCTAAATGTATGTGTGTTGTATGTATGTATATACAGTGCATGCAGTCTGTATATGTAGATATATATTTATATATGTGTAGATACAGTATGTATGTATAACATGTATTTGGCAACAGTATTTTTTAAACAGTTTAGTTACAGTTTATGAACATGTCTTGTTTGGAGGCTGTATCTAATGGCAGCCAATCTTATAAACCATTAGTCAGGGGAAATGTTGTTTTTAGTTCAGTGACTCAATCTTATAAACCATTAGTCAGGGGAAATTTTAGTTCAGTGACTCGTCGTTTTTCCATACAGTTCAAAAACCTAATTACAAATAATTTCATCTTTCAGGGCGAAGTTGCCAGATATTTTTTGTTTCTTCCACGTTCTAAAGCGATTTATTTCACAGATGTCAAATCAAAAAGTTGACTAATGTTTGCTGCCTGTGTCGTCTCTGTCCCAGAATAAAATATGTATGTATTTATATATTTGAGAGATTTCTTTAGAGGCTAAATTAGGCTAAAAATGTATTGTGAATATCTGTGATTTAACACCTCAAATTTCCTCTCCTTCACTCTGTTTCTTCTCTTTGCTTTCAGGTGTTTTCAGCTTCCCTGACCTTTCTCCTGGTCATCCTGTTGAAGGGTAAGCATTTCATGGATCAACCACAAATTATGAATCAATACTGTAGTACAGTCACATCATTACTGATAATTACAGCGGCCTACTGTACAAACTTGTCTGTCAAATAAATTCAGTTTCACCTGAATATAAAAATACTGACTTTATTAAATAGTAGAAAAATAGATCATTTACAATCACCCAGCTTGGTTTTCAGATCAGTGCATAGTACAAACATAGTGATGCTGTTACATACCTGCAGGAGAAACAGATTGGGAAACGGTTTTAATAACTGCTGTGGATGGAAGTTGTGTTTTCATCCAGATGGTTTGGAGAAATTTTGGGGGGAAAAACAACAGCAACAGAATATAGTTTTTAATCAGCCTGCTGGTGTTTTTATCCATTTACTGTGTGTAAATCTTTTTAAAAATCCAGTGTCTGTAACAGTAGCTGTAATGTTTCTATAGACGTCAGTGGTCCAGCCATTCATACATCTTGCTTTTTGTCTCTCTCTCGCTCTCTCTCTCTCTCTGGTGCGACATCATCTTATGTCTTCGCTGCATGTAATTCCCTCATTATTGTTCACCGGGGCCACGGGGCTGACAAGAGCCTTTTCTCTGTAAGACCACTGTGAATCTAACTTCACTGCAGCTCAATAGATGGTCGAAGGTTGTTGAGTCAATAGAAATATTTCTGCAAAATGCTATATCATTTGTAAAGACTGTAATTGTGGAAGAATTCAACATGTCTTTACCAAAAGAGTTATTTTTTTCTATACATCGACTCACTGAAGTGGCAACTTAGACATATTTAATGTGAGGAAAAATGTGATTCAGACCTTCAGCTCCATAAAGTACTTTTGAAAGTAGCCTGGTCAGGACTGTCACAGCAGACGATAAAATAACTTGATTTCCAGTTCCCAGCAAAACCCAAGGTGGTTTCAGTCAGACCGCCTGCTGAATAAGTTTATATTTGACATTTAGAGAGTTATTTCCCCGAGCAAGCCACGGAAAACAGTAAACCATACATCACAGGCTGAGTCACACTGTGCCTTATTAGTAAATTGATCATCGTATGTAAAATAGGAAGAGGTTTTTTGTGGAAGGCTTTAGGTTTAACAGTCATATTTATACATGGAAAAAAACTGTATGACTGATAAAGTTATTGATTCGTTTCTTTCATTAAAACCCACCACAGGGCAAAATGTACGAAATGTATTTCAATTTTTTGAAATGAATGTGACTCAGCACAGTTGGTAAAGAGGTCTTTCAACATGGTCGCCATGGTATCAATGATGAGGAAATACAAGAAATTTTCGGAACAGATTTTTGGAATTTAAATCCACCGCGGCAGCCTTAAGAAGGCAGCGGTCTCGTGAAGTGGGGCATTAATTGAAAGGTGCTGAGTGAGCAAACAGACAAAGGCTTCTCTGTCCCCACGGTTCAATCAACAAACCACCTCTGTTGTAGCCGGAGGAATTATGAGAGCCACATCTTTGTAAGTGATGCTGCACCTCCCCCTCTCCCTCCCCCTGCACCCCACACTCGCAGCAGCATTACTGGGACGTACATACAAATCTGCAGGCCTGGCCTTCCTGCATTCTCCAGTTTGGCCTCTGTCCTTAATCACATCGCAGCATTGTTTGAGCTAATCACACGGACAAACAACGCCCCGCTTTGTTCCTCGTGTGCTGTGTACAGTCTCCAGGCCTTGTTGGGAAGCTTCACATGACTTGTAGTTTTGATGATAAAATGTGACTTTTTGTCCCCCACCCCTCCCACAGTTTCAGCAGCTCAGCCTCTCACCATCAGGGATCCAAGGGAGACTGTGAGCAGCGACATGGGAATTTATGAAACACGTCCCACTCCTCTGGTTCTCTCTGGTACTGTACTACTGGCTACTTTATGAGATTTCAAACATTGTTTCATTCACTGTTTGATTTGGTACAGCATCTATCTATCTATCTATCTAATATTCATCTGGGTAGCTAGCTTACTGGCTAGCTGTCTCTATTGCTTGCTTGCTACTCCAGCTAGCTATCTTTTTATCTAGCTAACTAGCTACCAAAAAGCTACAGTTGGACATAGTTGTATTTCTAATATGATTTCTAATAGAATTTTTATTTTCAAAAGTAAACTTAAAGTAAATGTTGAAGCGTCTCCAACAGCTTTAACATTTGTTTACATTATTTTTGTCAATTAATAATCTTTGTTCTGCTTTTATTTTGACAGGTTTTTCAACCCTAGAAAATTGTACATTTTGAAATTTGAGCAAACACTAAGTTTGCCAATAAACTAAGTAGGAACCTTTTTTCAAGGAACATATTTTGGTCCTTTAACAAGACAGAGAAGCAGGTGTAAACGATGGTGAAACATTCCATTGTCATTAATAAGCTGGGGGTTTTAATCTTGTTGTATGCAGTACAACTTAAATATCTTTTGGTTGCACAGGAAGTGACGATATAAGCAGAAGCACCAGAGATGTTTCTTCTACTCAGGAAACTCTACAGGCTAAACTAACCACAAACCAGCAGAATAGCACCAGCAACCCAGTGAAAGTCAACATCACCTCATCAGCAGGTACTCTTACTGTTAATGTTAATGTTACATGGTCCACACTCTGTCATCACCAACGTTAAACCAGCCTGTCTCTCTGTGATCTGTCTGTCTTCAGCTCCTAAAGGCAGCACAGCCAGACCACAGACACAGTCACCCGCTCCAGGTACAGTACATGTCTCACTTGTCACCACCCAGTTGGTGGAGCCATTGAGTCTGTCTGGTGAAAGCCCTGTGTTTTCCCACAGTCTAAATTTCCTAACAGCATTTTCAGAAGCGCAGAAAAAGCCTTTGCTCAAAGAACGTAGAAAGCTTTAAAACTAATTATGAAGTAATTAGAAAAAATCTTCCACTCCCTGTCTACGCTGAGATATGAGGATGAGGCGGTCTGCTGTACTTCCCAGCCCGGGGAGGCAGAGTCGACGAGACAGAGAACGCCCTGATACGCCTTGAAAAGTGTTGAGCTAAATCCTCTCAGAGAAACTTCACAGATTCAATTAAAACGGAGTTAAACATTTCTAGGAGTTATATGTGGACACGTATGACAAACGTATGAAAAAAGACTGTATTTGTACAATTTACTATTGTAAAAGGTATTTTTAATGTGGAAAATGTTCGTGTAATGTTTGTGTAAAAAAATCTGTTTTTTTTTGTTTGTTTTCTTTTGTTTTTCAGCTTCCACAACGACCAAAATCAAAACCACAACCGTCAAAAAAAAGACCCCTGCTGTCGTCGTCTGGGGTAATACTTCTCTCCTCCTGTTAAATGTTGGAGTATAAGTGCTATCTTCAGGCAGACTGACACTATCTTAGTTTCTCCACCCCTCAACAACTCTTGGCAGAGGGGTAAAACAAACTACCTTACTCCCTGTTTTGCCACTAGATTAATGCTCATTCTACCCTGTGTAAGAAGAGATAAGATGTTGTGTCTTTATGCAGTGGTGGCAAACTGAAGATAGTGTTTCAACTCCAGTCTGTCTGACTGTTGTTCCCTGGACGTCCGTTGTACAGATTAAATCCACTACTTTTTGTTTCTTACAGATAAGAAGTGGGACCAGGGCTTCCAGTATGGTAAGAAGCTGCTCTTTATACGGTCGGAGCATCAACTTTTTATATGTTATGATATGGTTCGCATTTTATTGCTTAATTTATCACATATCTGGCAACCTCAGCATCGACAAAGTGTTACAACTTTGGCAAAAAAGTAAACAATTAAAGGTTTTCTGTTCTGTTTATGTATTTCATTGAAAACAGAATATCAATGAGCTGCACCCAGTGGTCAGACAGTGAACTTCAACACCTTCATTATGTTAATTAATTTGTGAAAATATTCCACCTTAAAATAATAATGTCTTTTAACATGGGCAGAACCAGGCACAACGCATATCCCATAATTCCACTGGTCATCTACTTGTCATGCTCTCATTCACAGATTGTGTTTACACACACTGCAGGACACCGCGCACACACTAGTTTCATCAAAACAGTTCCATCCATCCAACCACGATCAGTCAGATTAATCAGATTAATCAGATTAATCACAATGAATCCAAAATCATTATGACAGTCCAGGCGATCAGTCAGATTAAGAAAAAAAAAAAGATTGAAAAAAAAAAAGACTTTGGAAGAAATATCTCCAATTCTAACCCAGGAAGTTGTCTGTTCTGTTATTTATGTCTTATATTGACTTTTTCTGAGCTTTAAATATAATAAGCAAGTTTCTCATCTTTGAGGTTTGATGTCCTTAAGACATGTAGTTTTCAACCTTGGAAAGCAACTGAAATATTTCCAGATTTTTTTAAATTCTGATTCCAAATTACTCATGAATGCCTGTCGCCATGTGTCGTACTGTACTTAATAAAAGGATAAGGTCAGAGCACAAAGGAAACCATCCAACATTCAATGCTGTATCTCCTTGTTCTAATCTGTACGTGTACGGTATGCGTTGGTGTTGGGGCCTCAGGAAGTACTCAGTACTTGTCTTTATTACATGCTGTGTCCCTGTGATTGAATGTTGTGACAGTGTAGTCTTGTGTTCCAGATTACAGCACCTTGCGCAAGGCTGGACTGTCTATAGCAGCCATACTCTTCATCATGGGCATAATGGTCATTGGCTGTAGGTGTCACACGTGAATCCACATTCGGAACTGTTTCGTCCCTTGTAAAGAGTTTGTGTGGTAATCAGCTGCCTTTCTTTGGTCTCAGGTGGAAAGGTCTGCCAGCTGCCCAAGTGTCGCAGGCGGTCGTCAAAGTAAGTATTTCTGCTCTTCATTTGAATGAGAAACCCCATCGTGATGTTGCCTTTTTGTGAGGGTATTATGCTTTTGGAAAACTGCAGTTCAATGTATTAAGTAGTGTATATCAGAGGGTACTGGATGATGTATGGTAACAATCAGTCATTTCAGATATCCAGTAGCTCAGCAGACTGCTGACTAAAAGCTCTGGGATGATTAATAGACTGAGAACATGATGGAGCCGTTTGTTCAGAACCTCTGAAAGAACTGAAAATCACATGACCTGCTCTCACTGCTCCGCTCCGTTCTCATCTGAGAACTGACTCCTTCGACGTTTTCCCGTTCGTCTACCAGGTCGTACCGAGTGGTCCAGGGATGACGAGGCGCGTCTTTGGTGACTCGAGGACAGAGCGTGTCAGGAGTCCGTCGGTGGAAAAACACTCGAAACCCAACTTAGCAACGTGTGTGCACATGTGAACTGACTGTGCTGCTTAATAACAGTGTCACGCACATGAGTCACGCAGGCCAGTGGAAAACAGTAACAACAGCGGTCGTTTCCTCACTCCGCAGCTGTGTGTGCTTCAATGTGTGGAAACAACGAGTGAGGAGCTGATTTATTATCTTAATCACGCCTTCAGCTGCAAAGTTGGCTGCCGCCTAATGACCTCTGTACCTTACACCTGATAGCAACGCTCTTCAACATCTGTGCCCACAGCCAAGGGTTATTATTAAAGGTTATTAAGAATAATCAGAGCATCTCATAATTGACAATCTTGCGCAACGCCCAATAAACCTGGGCCAACAGGTAAACACACTTTATCATTTCAAATAAAAAGACAAATTAAGTATTTTAATCTGTCTATTGCCTCAATAAAGGAGTTACATTTATGACTTTGGTGTGAACGAGAACATCAAAACAGACACGCCGCGTATTTATGAACAGATTTATTGGTTAAAAATAAACAAAATGCAAAGTTCAGCATAGCTGTTATAATAAACTAATCCCAAAATCAATGTAACGTCAGCCGGGCAGATGGAATGAGTTGATGATATATGGTCTCCTGCGGCTATAGTTTTCCTCTGAGATCATGTACTAGGTCATGTACTACATACTTTGTAGATTAATACAGAAAGAAAAGAAAAAACTAGCGCTGATGTCCTTGGCACAAATAATATACAAATATGGGTTCACCCACACACACACACACACGTGCATCAACAACACAGATTACGGCCTAATTTGAAAAAAGAAATTGCAGCGATTTGACGGTAAATAATATTACAAATATTTTACATAATATTTCTTGGCCAACAGCGGACTTCCACCCACCACAACATCTACACGTACGGAAACCAAACAGACAGTTGCCCTTAAACTCAAAAGAAATTCAAAAGAAAACACGCAATGTATTCACTGAGAGATACATTTGTAAATACAAAGAATATATTATTATATATCACATTGAAGTTGCCTGTATTCACAAGTTTTTTTGGTGTTAGCAGTAACAGAAAGAGAGGGAAAAATATAAAGGATACATTATAAAAGACATAAACCACCTCCTCCCACAAATTCTCTCAGGTTGATTATCGTCATAATTCTATTAACATGAATCCATCATGAGTTACCCAACCAGCAAAGCCATCTTTTTTTTCTTTTTTTTTACAGCTGTTGTTTGCAACAAAAATGCTAGTCAACGTTTGAAGGCGTATGGTAGTGTTGAAGCACAGAGCAGAGGAGAAGGCTCTCAACTTTGGCTGATTTTTTTCAATATTTTCTTTTTTTTTATGCAATTTTCAAAATTAAGACTCCATGAGAGCAGAGCGTTTTTTTTTTTAACAGCAAAATGAGTGAGTGTTTACTCCATACATGGTCGGACTATACAAACATAAATATTGAAATGTTTTTGGTTTTTTATTGTGTATTTTTCCTGTTGTCCTGCCGTTGAAATGTTGACACTTATTTAAGGCTTAGCAGGCAAAGCTACATGCTACATAAGACGCTACAGCACTGACCAACGATGGCTGCCCACCTGATGTAGTAGTACAACGCTCTAATATTGTTTTCGGAACTGCTAGAGCTGCTTCCAGAGCTGCTAATCTATATTAAGACTCTACCAATGGAGCCATGAATGAATGATGTTGAACGGAGGAACATGGAGAAACCGTTGTCCTGGGTTCTGGAAAAGAAAGCTTTCATAATATAATAATTTTTCCATTTATTCTGTTGAATTATTCTTAAACGCGGCGTTGAGCTCATTCATCCAATTGTTACTAATTTCAAGAATAACCCAAGGATTCTCACACAATTACCGTAGGCTCCGAGGTCCTTCCAGAGAAGCTCGGAGGAATTATCAAACTCTAGAACATTCAGCGCTCATTATGGTCTGTGAGACGACAGAGATTCACTTCTGGAGGCCAATCACTTCTCCGCCCTGTCATTTTGCACGTGTTCCTTTTCAATTGAGGTTGATGAGGCAGGTTTTATCTTTCTGCCGCCTCTTGTCCGTCCTAATAGGCTGCGAACAGGAGACGTCAGAGGAGTGAATAGTGGAATGAAGCGAGCGCCCGGGCTATTTCAGGCTGGATTAGAATGATTTGTCTAAGTCAAGCCACTATTTCACGCTGGCAGATCAGTCCTACGAGCACCGACTCAAATGCAAATACAGTTTTACTGTGTAGCTGCCGGGAATAATGTCTCGTTCAGGTGAGGGAGCGCTCTGGCTGTGCTAAATTATCCCTGTTAACAATAGATGCTTTAAGCCATCAATTCACTGGCTTTAAATTTGGATTCCTTAAATAGAATCCAATTAGAGGGTTGAAAGAGTTCCAAATCTTCCAGGGTAAATTTGGTGTATTTAGTAGATACGGCAGGAACACAAACAAAAGAACACCAAAGGTGCACACTCATACACACACACACACACACACACACACATGGCATAGATACTGACAGGAGGTTGTAGAAGGTGAGCAGTGAAGTGAAGGTGAGTAGCAGGCTTGTTGTGCAATGATATCTGTAGGCGTCCTGGGGTCCAGAGCTGGAGGTTCCTTTTAGCCCCGTGTTGCTCCTCTGCTCCCTGTGTGTCATACAGTAGAACGGTGGTTCCATCCAAAACTAAATGGCTTCTTTATGGCCCTGCTCTGTCGGCACAGAGTAGATCCTGTAGGATCAGGAGAGAGGAAAACAGAAAGTCAGAGTCACTGCTAAATGGTTTTAGTCTAAGTTGTTTTTTTTTAGCATGTCTGCTCGGTGCTGCAGGGTTCACACAGTGGCAGCTGCAGCGCCCCAGTTACTCCTCCTCATCCCCAGGTGGCACTTTAAAACCTGGAAAGGCACTGTTGATCCAACACAGCCCAGGTTGCTGTGTGATTAAGCCTCTTTTCAGCAGGGCGATCAGTCAGCACCACTGTCAGAGCTGACTGCAGCCCCGGGAGGCGGCCACTAATCCTCTGGAGGAATTTAACCCTTACAGATTGACTCAGGTGTTTGCTGGTTCCCACTTCTGCTCTTTACCAGAACTCAAACGAGGCTAATTTGAACCGAGCAACCTCCATGACCCGACCTGTAGGTCACGAATTACCAGATGCCGAAACAAAACAAACAAAAGTGCTTACTTAGCAGAAACCTCTTTTAGGTCAATTGTGGTTTGATGAGAGAAAGCAGTTGAACACGTGAAGCGCGTGGAGAGAACGTCTCTCTGTAAAACTGGTTCAGGCTGTTCTGCCGTACGACTGCTGTCAGCTGACTGTTGTCGTGATTATGCGAAGTCTGGTGTTTACAGACGTGTACTGAGCTGAGCCATCTCTCCAGGCTCAACTGAGATTCATGAAGTAAGCGTTGGAACAGGTTACATCCTGTCTGATTTGGTCACACTCAGCCAGTGGCACGGTCCTAAGGCTAACGTTTGATGACTCGGAGAGAAAAGACTAGAGGCAGGGAGTGTTTTGTAGTGGTGTCAGGCCTCGGGCTCAGATACTAATTGCGATACAAGTCTGGACGGGTGCAGATGGGTGTCTTAAAGTTGTCTTAAGAGGATTTTTTTAAATAGTTTTGATGCTGAAATTGGATAAAGAACGTAAATCTACAAGTGCATGGCAAAACTGTTCAGACCCATCAGACTGGTTGGGTCACCTGCAGGCTGACAAACAGAGTGTGTGTTTGTCTTGCTGAGGAATACTCAGAGGACACTTTCTAATCCCAACACAGAGAATTCTTAACAAATATGAACTACGTCAGTGATAATGTTTGACCTTACCCTTGCTGTCGACTCTGCATGCGGCGTCTTAACAAAATTGCAGCTGCATGAAAAAACCCAAAAAGAAAACAGGTTAAAAGGTCAAATCTGCAGGAAATGGTTCATATTTGCTCAGGTTAACAAAGAGACTGTGTCCGAGGGCAGGTGGTTTATCACAGCAGTTCATTTATCAACTGTCTGAATAAACAACTATTATTTCACATTTCACTCCGTCGTGTCCAAACAGCAGTCAACACTCACCGACTACTGCTGCGATACAGAGAGCCAGGAGAACCACAGCTACGACGACGATAATCAGGATGAGGTGATCTGAGAGCACGGAACATTTTTAACAAGCTGTTAGACACGGCTGCAGGTTCATTATTGCACAATGTGTATAGAAATGTAGAGCACTGCATTGAGCTGTAGAGTGATACTGCAACCAGTGTACCTGAAGAACTCTCTTCGCCCGTAGTTTTGTCTACAAACGTCGAATCAAGAAACTTGTTGTCAGTGACTGAAAAAAAAAAATGTAAATGAAATCGTTAGCGAATACAAAAAGTTTAAAATGTCAAATAATAATAATATACGATCAAGCCAAAAATAAATATCAGGGTTGCGAAATGTTTCGTGAACAAACACTACTTCCTGGTTCAGTTCCTGTACAGGAAATGAAGCAGGAAGTCCTGAAGATTTTATACAGATTTGAAATGATATTAGTAGTTAGTTTGTTCAAAGATTTCGAGAAATCATTTGCAACATAAAATCCTCAAGATCTAAATGTGCTGTAGACAATCTTAACAATCTCAATTGTCATATATACTGCTTTACAAGAGTTGTTTGACATATTTTAACGGTTTCTGGCCTCGATCCCCACACCCCGCTCCGCCTCCTCCTGATTATTGTTTTTCAGTTTGGCCGCCGCTCCGACAGCCGACAGCCGACTGGCTGCAGATCTGTAGTTCTGTCAACCGTCAGTCAAAGTGGAGATGAGGAGCGACGGGGCGGTGTGGGGAGAGAACGTGAATGCCAGTGTTGATTAGCAGATCAGCAGGGTGGTGGAGACGTCGACGGGTTCACTGGCCTTTCAGCACAGTTCACAGGACCTCTCCG